GAGATTCTGAGATTCTGGGATTCTGAGATTCTGAGATTCTGAGACTCTGAGATTCAGAAATTCAGAAATTCAGAAATTCAGAAATTCAGAAATTCAGAAATTCAGAAATTCAGAAATTCAGAAATTCAGAAATTCAGAAATTCAGAAATTCAGAAATTCAGAAATTCAGAAATTCAGAAATTTAGAAATTCAGAAATTCAGAAATTCAGAAATTCAGAAATTCAGAAATTCAGAAATTACAAAAAAAAAACAGAAAAAACCCAGTAAAGAAAATCTTCAAAAAATCAGAAGTCATCAAAAATCGGACAGACAATTGTCAAAACATGAACAAAAAACAAAAAAAATGATGTCAAAATGTTATTGATATACTAAACTATTTTTCAGGATCTACTAAAAATCAGAAATATTCAAAAAATGGCACCAAAATAGAAAAAAAAAATTCATAAAAAAATTCAGAATTTTTTGTACCCGAACATCTCCAACGCAACACGAAGAATCTTGTCATATCAACAAAAAAAGGACCCACAAGATTTTATAGTTTGTAGTCTTTCTGATAAAGAAACAACAAAAAAAGCGAGAAAAGAAAAAGAGACAATATACCTATCCGCTCATAAAAATCTTGTTCATCTGCCAAAAACCAATGACCTCACCAATTAGATTTTTTTTATTATTATTTGGAATTTCTTCTTTTTTTCTTTCAAATCAGAACCCACAGAATCAAGAGAATGATATCATTTAAATCGAGAATTGAAGAAACTGGTTTTCTTCTTTTTCGAATTAATTGCTTGAGAAATGAAAGTTTTGGGGTGTACTGTTCAGAATTCGTTGGCTAGAACAGAGGGTTTCTGATATTCGAAAAAGATTGAAAACTTGAAATTCTGATCTCTAGTTTTTTTTTTGAGATTCGCAGATTCTGAAATTCTGGAAGTTCGGTTCTTAAGACTCTCAGGCTTTTTTTTTGCTTTTTGAGATTCTGAGGTTTTTAGATTCTTTTAGTCAGAAATCCAAAATTTCCTAACAATATGAAATTGTGAAATCGGAGAGTTTGAGATCCTGGAATTCTGAGATTCTGAGATACTGGGTTTTTTCTGTTTTTTTTTTGTAATTTCTGAATTTCTGAATTTCTGAATTTCTGAATTTCTGAATTTCTGAATTTCTAAATTTCTGAATTTCTGAATTTCTGAATTTCTGAATTTCTGAATTTCTGAATTTCTGAATTTCTGAATTTCTGAATTTCTGAATTTCTGAATTTCTAAATTTCTGAATTTCTGAATTTCTGAATTTCTGAATTTCTGAATTTCTGAATTTCTGAATTTCTGAATTTCTCATCTTCAGAGTTTCAAACTTATTAGAATTTCAAAAAATCAGAAGCAGCAAAAATTATTCCGCTTTTTTTCCAAAAAAAAAAAGAAATCAAAACCTCCCTCATTCATAAATTAACATAACAATCAATAATCATTTTGGGTATTTTTTCAACTAAAAATGTTTCCTACAATGTCTAATTTGATCTACTATTTTAAAAAAGTTGAATATTTGATCTCCAAAATTGATTTTTTACAAAATTTCAAGCATTTTTCTATTTTTTCGACTATTTTTCTATTGACCGACACATTGATTCCATGTCAAAAAGAATCAAATTTTTTTTTGAAAAACCGGATTCTTCTTTCTTTTTCAATTCCCTTCTCCCTTGGACTTTTTCACCGATTTTCTGGATCATCGCATTTTTCTTTCTTTTGCGTTCGAAAGTTATTTTTTTGAATTTCCGCCAGATTTTCAAAAAAGTTCTAGAATTTTCAGAAATGCGGTTAGTGATCAGTTTTTTTCTGATTCTTCTGGAAATTACTCTGGTGACGTCATCAAAGTGTCGGGATGGAGTACACAATGTGATCACAATCGATTCATATGGAAATGGTGAGAATTCTGGAAATCTGGAAATCTGACAATCTGGAATTCTGAGATTCTGAGATTCTGAGACACTGAGATTCTGAGATTCTGAGATTCTGAGACTCTGAGATTCTGAGATTCTGAGATTCTGAGATTCTGAGATTCTGAGATTTTGAGATTCTGAGATTCTGAAGTTCTCTAGGACTCTAGGATTCTGAGATTCTGAGATTCTGGGATTCTGAAATTCTGAGATTCTGAGATTCTGAGATTCCGAGAGTTTAAGATTCTGAAATTGCAAAAATCTGAAGTTTCGAAAATCAGGAATTGTGAAAAAATACAAATCTGGGATTCTGTATATCTGAGATTTCAAAATTCTGAAATTTTAAAACTTCTAGAAATCTTAATAATTATTTTTTGAATATCCGTAAGATCCGGAAAAAGAAGGTCAGGGATTGGATAAAAAACTCCGGAAAATTTTTCAAAAATTAGCTTCAAAAAAATTGTTTTCAACAAAGTTCTCAAAGTTTCTTAAATTTAAGATTCTGAAATTCTGAACATTTGAAAATCTGAAATTTCGTTCTTCTGATGTTCGGGAAGACAACATTCTGACAATTTCGAGGTTCAGTGTCTGATTATAAAAAATTCTAATCTTTAAGATTCAAATCTGGAATTCATAGAATACTGAAATTCCGAAGTTGAAAAATTCAATAATCAAAAGATCAGTAATTCCAAAAAGTTCAGAAGTTCAAAACAACTCTAAACATCTAAAAAAAATTTCTGAAATGATCTAAAATTGAAAAAAAAAAATCAAAAAATACTGAAAATCCAATTTCAGAAACCCTGCCAGTAGAAGTCCGGAAAATCCGGATCCATGTGTACGACCACGATATGAAACCATCCTGCTACAAGAGGAAAGTGAACGTAGTGATGCCTGGATGGTTTGTGATAAAGCATGGAGAAGTGGACACATCTAAAGATTTTGATATCGTCAAAGATGGAGCAGTTTCTGTGAGCGTCTCTTTGGATGGAGATCATATATGCCTCAATGGACACTCGGACATGTTCATCGTTCCCGAATCGTTATGGTGAGTTTTTGAAAAGCTTCTAATTTTTTTTCAGAAGATTGCTGTGGCATTTTGGTCTACTACAAAAATGTTTAAAAATTCATTAGGATCATTTCATCAGTTGACTACTTTTTGATAGCTAACTTGGTTCTTGAGATATGAGCATTTTAAAGGAGGCGAGACAGCAAAAATTTCGGGAGACAGTTCGGGGGACGAAATCGCGCCGCGCTTATGTAGACCATCGGTCGTCAGGCGCCTTCGCGCCCCCGTAGCTCAGCCGGTAGCGGCGCTGTACCCCTGAGCTGCCTGTCATGAGTTCAACCCCTCATGGGGGGTTCTCTATGCAAATTATCAGGATCACTTTTTTTTGGTGTCTGGCCTCCTTTAAGGGAGCTCGCCAGAAAGAGACGCAGACAACGAGACGCTCCTTAAAACTTTCTTTTTCAGTAACTTCGAAGTGAGCTCATTCGTCCCGAAAGACATTTGTGAGACGCTCCAAACCAAAGGATTACACACTTTACAAGAATTGGAGGTATTTCGAAAAAAATTTTTGTTTGATCTACATATTTTTACAAAATTTCAGAAGAAAAACGATTTCAACGCTACACTGGAAATTCCCGCGTCCCCGAGTTTTTTGGGAATTTCGTTGCTCGATGTGTTGAAGGTACAGTAATCTGCGAAAGTTCTGAAAAATCAAAAATTCAGAAATTGAAATTTTTGAAAAAGTTCGGAAATTCAGAGTTTCAGAAACTCCAAAAAATCACAAGTTCAGAAACTCAAAATTTTTAAGTTCTGAAATTCTGAAATTCTGAGATTCTGAGATTCTGAGATTCTGAGATTCTGAGATTCTGAGATTCTGAGATTCTGAGGCTCTCAGATTTTGAGATTCTGAGTTTCTGATTATTCTGAGGTTCTATTCGATTCTGAGATTCTGAAATGCTGAAATTCTGAAATTCTGAAATTCTGAAATTCTGAAATTCGGAAAGTCGGAAATTCTGAGATTCTAAGATTCTGAGACTCTCAGAATATCAGAATCTCAGAATCATAAAATCTCAGAATTTCAGAACTTCAGAATTTCAGAACTTCAGAATCTTGGAATTTCAGAACTAAGTAATTTTGAATGAAAGAAACTCGGTAATTCAGAAATTCAAAATTTCTTAGTTCTAAGGTTTTGAGATTCTGAGATTCTGAGATTTTGGGACACTGAGATTCTGAGATTCCGAAACTCCACTGGACCTATTTTTTCCGAAAATCTGAATATTTTTTCAACTCGAAAATATCCAAATTTTTTTCAGGGAAACTACCGTATCAAAATCTCTATTGCTTCCGAGGGCAAAAAAATTGTGGAATTCGCACTTCCAACCGGATATAAAGATCTCAAAATGGGCATGAGTGAATCAGATGATGAGGATTAATTTTTCAAATTTTATGCATTTTTCTTCGTTTTTCTGTAATTTTCCAAAAATTGTTTTTCGCTTCAAAATCACATTTTCCACAGCATTTGCATTTCCTCTAGTGACACCATTCGGGTACTTTTTGTGTAATTTTTTTATGTTGAAAGATTCAATGTGAAGTAAAAATAGATAAGATTTGTGATGTTAAACTTTAGCAGTAAAAGAAAAAAATAAAATAAAAAACCTAAGGCCCAGGACCCAGGACCCAATTAAAAAGTTTAGTAACTCCTGTAATTCCGAAATTCCGAAACTCAGGCAATTGATAAACTTTGATTCATAATTTCAGAAGCTCCAGTAAATTGAAAATCACGAAAAAAAAATCTAAAATTCCTAAAATTCGAAACTTCTCAAAAATTTCAAAAAGAATAATTTATTAGAAAAAATCGTCTACAAAGTTCTAGCGCCAATCGGAACTATATTCCTTAAAATTCGTTCGAAAACAATGAAATTCGAGCCAAAACCAAACGAAATAACATTCTCCAAATCGTCAGGAATCCCAAAATACCAAAAGCTTTCCAATTCAAAATCTTCTCCAAATAACTCCACTAAATGCTCCTCGGCGTCCGATTTTCTAAAGCTAATTTCATAATTCATCATGTGTGGAGAACGGAGAAACGCCTGGAAGTTTTTTTTAGTTATCAATAGAGCGCATTTCCATTTTTACCTCTTTTAAACTCAAAATCATTTCCAGAGACACCTCAAACAGGTCCATTTTGATCAAATTGAAATGAATCAAACTTTCCACTGGAACATTTTTGACGAAATTGGAGATTTGCAATGTTTTTGCCGATTTCCATTGATCCATTTTTGAAATTTCCGAAAAATCCAAACCCTTCTTGAGTCCATGAAATTCCAATTCTTCCAATTTTCCAGAATCGATCAAAGGCAAAATATTGAGAATTGGAGATTTAGAATTGTAAAAAATTCGAAAACTTTTGGCTTTGAGCGGGAAACTTTTGGATTTTGAAATTCTTTCGAATAGATCTTTCGAGAAGTTTTCAGATTCGCTATCAGACGTATCAAAATCCATTTCGATTTCTTCGAAAATTCCAGAATTCGAGAAATTCAGAATGTCTGAAAATCGTTGAAAGCGAGATTCAAAAAATTGGAATTTGGTAGATATTTTTGATTTTTCCATTGATCCGTTGAGATGAAACATCCTCCATTTGGAGCTTTTTGATATCGAATTAGCATATATTTTTTATCATCAAACTTCGGAAGAAATTTGATGCAGGAATCGCCAAATTCTAGCTGGAATTCGGTCATTTTGGATTCTGGCTTGACGTCGTCGATGAAATTTCGAAGGTCTCGACTCGTTTTTCGGAGACATTGGCTGAAAAAAGGAATATTTTGGGAATTCGAAAGTTTCAAAAAAATTAAACATTTCGGAATTGAATAAATCCAGAAATTTTGAAAATTCGGAAACTCAAATTTTTTGGTTTAGTGGAATTTCTGAATTTCGAAATTTTTTCGAATTTTTGTGAAATTCTGAAATTACGAGGCTCCTATTTCAGAGTTTCAAAAACAATTTTCGGATAAACGGACACACAGACAGACTCACATTGATACAAAATCCAAATTCCCTAATATCATTTTCATAACGATATCCGGAAAATTTAGTAGAGAAAATTCAGAAGACATTGCAGTAGGAAAATATTAAATTTCGATAATAATACAAGTTTTCAAAGCGAAAAGAAGAATAGTATTGAGAAATGTTGTGAAATCGTGTGTTCGCAGTGGAGCGCGTTTGCATCTGTCTGCCAATTTGCATATAAACATAACCGAAAAAAGTCATTTTTCAATTTTCATTGTTTCCAAAAAAGAAAATTTCTCGAAGTATTTCCGGAATTGCGATATTCTAAGATTAAAAAAAACTGAAAATCAGAATTTGAAGAAAAATTTTTGAAAATCAGTAATTTTTTAGAAAAAAAAATTGAGGACTATAAGATTCTGATCATTCTGAAACTTCAAGAATCTGGTTGATTTCTTGATTTTTTTGTTTGATTTGTCATTTTTCATCATTTCAAAAGGGCAAACAAAACTGATAAGACACTCTTTTTCTATCCGCTTTTTTCCCGATTTTTCTCTCATTCGTCATTTTCTTCATCTTTTTTTCAGTAATATTTTTTCGAGTTTCAGAAAAAATGTCATCTCTGCTGGAAATGCCTGATTTAGTCATGAAATTGGTACTCGGAAAATTGGATTATGTGTCTGTGTGAGTTTTTTTTCTCGAAAAAATTGAAAAATTGGATTCGAAAAATTCGAAACTCTTATAATTCTGATATTCCGATATTCAGGAAAAGTGTCTAGAATTTCTTTAACTCCAAATCAAACAAAAACTCTGAAATCCAGGAAATCGGACATTCGTACCTTTTGAATTTTGAAAATTTTCTAAATTTCTGAGATTCTGAGATTCTGAAATTCTGAGATTCTGAGATTCTGAAATTCTGAGATTCTGAGATTCTGAGTTTCTGAGATTCTGAAATTCTGAAATTCTGAGATTCTGAGATTCTGAGATTCTGAGATTCTGAGATTCTGAGATTCTGAAATTCTGAAATTCTAAAATTCTGAAATTCTGAAATTCTGAAATTCTGAGATTCCGTGGTTCTGGGATTCTGAGATTCTGAAATTCTGAGACTCTGAGAATTCTGAGATTCTAAAATCCTGAGATTCTGAGATTCTGAGATTCTGAGATTCTGAGATTCTGAGATTCTGAGATTCTGAGATTCTGAGATTCTGAGATTCTGAGATTCTGAGATTCTGAGATTCTGAGATTCTGATATTCTGAGATTCTGAGATTCTGAAATTCTGAAATTTTGAAATTCTAAAATTCTGAAATTCTGAAATTCTGAAATTCTGAAATTCTGAAATTCTAAAATTCTGAAATTCTGAAATTCTGAAATTCTGAGATTCTGAGATTCTGAGTTTCTGAGATTCTGAGAACTTCAGAATTAAAAAAATAAAAGAAAAACAACTTTTAGGAATTTTCGATTTCTGGAACTTTAAAAATTTAAAATTTCCGAATTTCTGAATTCTAAAACTTTTTGAATTTCTTGATTTTCAAATTTCCTAAATTTCCTATTCTGGAAGCACGAACTTCCAGAGTTTCTAGAATTATTTAATGTTTTTACAGCCAACGTCTCCGAAAAACATGTCGAACCCTTCGAAACTTCATTGATGACGTCAAGCCAGAATCCAACCTTTCTGCATTTCGCATTCTTTTTACCCCAAAATATTTACGATTTTTCATTTGGTTCAAAGATCTAGAAAATTTGCAAATCGAGTACATCACAGTGGATAACGGATGCAGAATTGTACCAGAAGGAGGAGAATATCAATGGTTTTTTGAAAATTCCGATTTTTTGGATATTGCATTCGGAGATGCCAAAATTTTATTGGATTTCACAAATTCTGGAAAAATCCAAAAATTTAGTTTTGATTCTATGTGTCCACCGGAGACTTCTAGAAATCCTCGACCATGGTTTTTGGATCGCCTTCATGGATATTTGAAATTTCGAAAAAATCTTTTGAAAATCAAATGTTTGGACTTCGCATTTCTTGATCAACAGGAGATTCTGGATGTTTTACCATTCTTGGAGCCTAGAACTTTGGAAAATTTGCGTTTGGAATTCGTTGGAGATAAAATCAAAAGGCAAAGTTTTCGGACGAGAAAACTGTCGAAAATAGTGGATTTAGAGCAATGGAAAATGGCAAAAGAACTGAAATTTGACAATTTTTGTTTAAGTTGTCCAATGGAATTTTTATATAATTTTCAAAAAATTCATATAAATATAAAGGAGGCCACAGAGGAATTTCTTGGATTGAAGGAGGTGAGATTTTTGAAATTTCTGAAAATTTGAATGAAAAACTGAAAAATTTCCGAATTTTTGAATTTTTGAATTTCTGAATTTCTGAATTTCTGAATTTCTGAATTCTGAATTCCTGAATTTCTGAATTTCTGAATTCTGAATTCCTGAATTTCCGAATTTCTGAATTTCTGAATTTCCGAATTTTTGAATTTCTGAATTTCTGAATTTCTGAATTTCTGAATTCTGAATTCCTGAATTTCTGAATTTTTCGAAAATCTCTTGTCTAATTTTCGACACTCTAAAATTATGAATCTTTGAACTTTTAGATTTTTTTTTCGAAAGTTCCAAATTCTGATCTTCTGAAACTGCGAAATCAAAACTTCTAAATTTTTCAACTTTCTCGAAAACTTCTCAATTCACCAGTTTTTTTAAATGCCAATTTGCTCTATTGAAATCTTATTTTATTCAGAAGATCCTCAATTCCCCTCAAATGGAAAACTTTGAATTTCATTTCCGACAATCTGATGCTTTCGATAAGTTGACTGAAATTTTTGGAGAAATTTCATTTTCGGATACGCAATACATGAATGGATATAAAAGACATTGGTTTTTCGCATACTCTGAGAACTCTGACAATTTATTGGAAATCACTTTTTTTGAAAATTATAAGTATTATGCATTCGATATCAACAAAAAAGTAATTTTCAGTAAAATTTCTAGAAGAATGGTTCCATCTGGAGCAATTATTTATAAATAAGTGAATTTTGTTATTTTTTTAATTATTTCAAATAAAATTGTTTTTTCGGCTCTCAGAATTTTTTAAAGTTCGAATTCCAAAATTATTGGATTACTGAAGTTTTGAGCCAAAAATTGCTGAAACTCTGAACTCCGGAAGTCAGGCAAAGACATCTGGACATGAACCTCTCGACCCAAGATTTACGACTTTTTGTGCTCGCTGAGCACAATTCGAAAATCTTTCTCTTTTTCCTGTCCCTCTAAACGATTATGAATTGTGTCACATTGTTGTGTTTGTGTCCCCCGTTGTCTCCCATTATTTCACTAGAAACACATGTGGAAAAAAGAGCCAACGGAGCATTTTTCGTCGGTTGTCTCGAGACAGACAAAATGCTTCTACTGAAGTATTTTTTGGCATCTTTTGCATTTCAAATAGGTAGGTATTTTCTGGAAAAAAAACGATCGAAATACAAAATCATGGACAGTTTTGGAATCTTCATTGAATAGGTTATTTCAGAATGCTTCCCCATACATTATCTTTGAGCCCAACTTGCTCAATTTCTGTGAGAGATACAAGACATTTAACGAGAAAATTTGGCTCAAAGTTTGACAGCCCGGCAAGGCAAGCCGCGGACCGTTATCTACTTTGAGCCCAATTCACTCAATTTCTGTAAAAGACACCAGAAATCTGTCAATTATCAATATGTTTGTGATATTCTGTTTAACATTTTATCAGTTGACAAAGTTTTGCTATCTTTTCTAGGAACCGAGGAAATTTGGCTCAAAGTTGACAGTACTCGTCAAGGCAAGCCGCGGACCGTAGTCTACTTTGAGCTCAGTTATCTCAATTTCTGTGAGAGATATCAAAAAATGATAAACTACAAAAATGTTTGTGATTTCAAGAACAACATTTTATCAATTGTCAAAACTTTGCTATCTTTTCTAGGAACCAAGGAAAATTGGTTCAAAGTTAACAGTACCCGGCCAGCCAGGCGGCGTGTTGTGGTTTAATTCTAGCTCAATTATCTTGGTTCCTATACAAGATATCAAAAATTAATAAACTACAAAAATATTAGTGATATCAAGAACAACATTTTATCAGTTGACAACATTTTGATATCTTTCCTAGGAACCGAGATAATTGAGCTCAACCTTCGTGTATAGGATTCACCTAAAGTCCCAATAGTTCAACAGAGCTACCGTGTGTTCAAATTTTTTGAATTTCCCGCCAAATCATTGTACCACTTAGGAAATGCAATTCTATGTCACCAATGCGAAGGATGGCGTGGTCATAAAGATGGTGGTCATGAGAACTCGTGCTGGAAGTACAATAATAATTGTGAGGTACAGTTTTTTCGAATACTTGAAATTGGAATTTCAAACTTTCGAGTTTCTGGTCATAACCTGAATTTCTAACTTTCCATTTTTCTGAAAATTTCGGAGTTTCCATTTTTTTTGATTTTTTGAACATCTGAAACTTTGGAATTCTGAGTTTTTCGGGAAACTTTAAATATTCTGGAAAGCTTTGAATTTCTAAGTTCCAGAATCTGAGAATCTTCGATTTTCAAATTTCGAAATTTCAAATTTTCTTTCAATCTTTCAGACAAATGTGTTCTGTGTGAAAATCACTGAACCAATGACACGGGACGCCACCTATGAGCCGTATAGATCAGAGTGTTGGTGGGTGTGTGACTGGAATTTTCTAGACCACTGAAACTTCTTCCAGGCATCAAAACAATCTAGTGGTGGCTCCAGGAAACTCGACGATTGTTCAGAATGGCTGCTACACGTTTTTCGATCAAGCCACGCCCCCAAAACGGTGAGTTTTTACAATTATGAAATTCTGAAATTTTGAAATTCTGAAATTCGGAGATTCAAATCTTCCAAATTTTGAAAACTCAAAAATTCAAGAATTCGGAATTCGGAATTCCAGAAATTCTAAGTCTTAAAATCAAAGTCATTCCAGATGGACATACTGCTTCTGTAACACGACGGATTACTGTAATTCTGGCTCCGCTCACTTGAATTTGGCCCTAATTTCGACTTTTCTATTTTTCATGTCTTATTTTTTAAACTTTTATTAGATGAATTCAGAGAAGAATTTGGTCATTTAAAGGTTCAGAAAAACCCGCGAAATTTAAGAATTTGAAAAAAAAACAATTGAAAAATTAGAGAAAATTTGAAGCAGGGAGAAGCACAGACACAACAGCGTAACGACAGAGGGAAGAGGTTTGGCGGGAATTTGAAAATTTGAAAATTTCAAAAAAGTTTTCTTCATTCCTACTGAAGATGTCGGCTGGTGTCTGCATCTCTCCGTTCTCCATGCTCCCTTTCTGCAAAAAAAACAATCGAAACAAAAGTTGTTTGTCGTTCAAAGCAAACTCGCTCTACTGAACATAAAAGTTCGGTAGAGCGAAATTGCATTTCTTGAGTTCAAAAAATGAAAACTAATTTCACATAATAAGAGTACCCGAATTAAAAGCGTCTGGATAAAGAGATTGTGGAGAAATGGGCGGAGTCTGATGATTGCTCATCATTTGAATCATTGGAGTACGGTCACCAGAATACACGTATTCATGGTATTGCTCCTGGAGTACGGTATGTTCGCTGGATTGGGACAATGATCGGTGACGTTCGATGGTGTGCTGCAAAACGCGCTCTGTCGAGAATTTTCGAAAAAAGGAGAAGCGCAGACAGCGAGACACTCTCGTTGTCTGCGTTCTCTTCGTCTTTGCAGTCGATATTTGAAAACTTTGAAGAAAATTTGACACATTCAGATTTTCATAAAATCTAGAAACTTCCGAAGTCCGTAAATTCGAAAATTCTGATATTCGGAAATCACAAAAATTGCAGAAAGTTCGAATATTCAAACAGATAAAAATTCCAGAAACTCAAAAATCTGAAATCCCAAAATTCTAAAAACTCAGAATTTAAAAAGTTCCGGAAAATCGAAATTTTCAGGAAATTTGAAAAATCTGAAAATCAGAATTTCAAAAGAATTAGAAACTTCAGAGAATTCAAAAACTCCTAAAAAGTCCAATAATCAAAAATTCAAATTTTTGCAAATCTTTGCAATTTTCACTATTCACTTCTGCAAATTTGTACATCTGCCTGTCTGTAAATCTGTACATCCGGATGTCTTATCATCTCCAAAGCAGCAGCCAGCAGCCTCATTCCAAAGGGTTAAAGCACACACAAATTGTCAGTAGGGCGAACTTGCAACATTCCAAAAAAATAAATTATCCAAAAATTATCCATTCTTGTTAGTTTTTTTTTTGTTTGAAACGAGGACAAAGAATTCAACTAAAAAAGCGATTTATATAAGGAGAGATCGAGAGATTTAGAGAAAAAATTAACATACAAAAATCTAAAAATCTAGCTAAAATTATTTTTTTAAATTACAGAAAAAAACGACAAGGAGATTCAAAGGGAAAATTATGGCGAAAACCGGGCAAAATAATTAAGAGATCTACTAGAAGTTACCGTAGTAAGGGATTACTGTAGTTTTTGGGTTACTGTAGACATACATATATGGCAATGATTAGATAAGGGGGTAAGAAAGACAAGGGACAAAAGACAGTGGACTGTGTAAAGGATTACTGTAGTTTGAAAAAAAATTATAAAGGGAAAGCATAAACTAAATAGGTGAGGTTATGGGTTACATGCTAGTTAGCAAAAAGCTTCAAATTCGCGCCAAATCTCATCATCATACCCTAAACGCAGAAGTGTGCTGTACTGCACGTCTTCCGCCGGTGGGTCCCGTTGCCACTACGCCTTTCGAGCGCTTTCGTCGTTCTGCCTCGAGTTGCTCGCGGAGCAGTTGGATTTGGGATTCTAGAAGTTTCCGCTTATGGGAATAGTTGGCGTCTTTCTGGTCGAGCATTGCTTGGAGCTGAAAATGGATTGAATTTTTGGAAGTTCCGTGAAATTTCGATATAAAAATTAAGCTTTTCGGGTTACTGTAGCTTTTCGGAATGTCGCAAATTTTTGGAATCAGAAACCGTAGTTCAAAAAAAAAAGAGGATTGTCACAGTTCAAAACAAAACTGACAGTATTGCTTGTGCGCTATTGGAAATACAGTACCCGCTCATATACAGAAATCCTTGAAATTTTGATCTTTCAGTCCGGATTTGGAATCCTGATTTTCCATGCAACCGGCCGCGTAGCGAGCCTTATAGTTAGCATATCTCAGCGTATCCAACCATTAGCGTGGCTCAGCGTACCTCAGCGTAGCTTCGCCTAGCTCAGCCTAGCTCAGCTTATCTAAGCCTAGCTTACCATTAAACCCCTAAACCATACCTGCCGCTTCTCCTCGATCAACGCTGCGATCCTTGTCTCCAACAATTGATGATCTTTGGCTAGTTTTTGAACTGATCGATTTCCGGCATCCCTCTCAAGAGTCTGTATCTGTGCCTGGAGTTGCGCACAATTTCTATAGAGCTGCTGATTTTCACGCTCCATTGATGCTAGGGATTTGTCGATGGCACGACGCTCGTTCATCGTTTCGCGGACCGCTTTTTCGGTTTTTCCTTTTTCTTCTTCGAGCTGAAAAGTAAAAATTTTCTAATTTCTCAAATTCTCAGCATGGCAATGCGCTGAAAATAATGATTTTGAGTCGAGGTACGAAAGTTTGAAGTTTTGAATGAGAGACGCAGAGAAACGAGAGTGAATCTCGTTGTCTGCGTCTCTCGAGTCATCGTTGAAGGCGCATAAGTCGTTTTAAAGTTAACCGAAATTTACGTAAGTTGTATCATTTTGAAGGGTATTTCAATGATTATTTCTTTCCAATTTAAAGCCCGTCCCTGGGGTGACCAAGTGTCAGTAAACCTACTCCATTAGACTCACCGCATCGACATGTCGCTTCAACGCACTGATTTCTCTCTCGAGCCTAACTCGAATGCCTTCAATCTCCTTCTTCTCCGTATCACTTCTCAATCCTCTCCGCTTGAAATCCTCTATCTCCGCCGTCTGCACCAACTTCTCTTTTCTCAAAATCTTCAACTCAGCTCTCATCTCTGCCTCCAATCGCTTCCATTCCTCTTCAAACTTCTTCAACGCCGATACCGTATTCTGCATTACGACCAACTTGCTTGACAGCTCCTCATTCTTCCTCTCAAAATCCACAGATCTCAAATTAATTCCATTCATTCTGTTGAGCTGCTCTCTCATCTCCACTCTCAACCGATCGCATTCCTTGGTTAGTGCCGTGTTTCGTGTGCTCATTTCATGATGTGACTCCTCCCATCGACGTTGCTCCTGCACCGCGCGTTCTTGATCTTCCACTGATTTCTTCGCAGTGCTCACTGCAGATTTCCAAGTGCGTTCTGACACTCGGAACTCTTCCAGAAGTGTTCTGTTCTTCTCATTGAGCCGTCTCTCATCTGTGATTTCTCTCATCAATTGCTCTCTTTCCTTTTCAAGTTGCTCCAGTTTGCGGAATAAGTTCTCATTCTCTGCTTGAATCCTCCGATGTTTGCCAACAGCTGCCTCTCGTTCTCGGTTAGCTCGATCTAGTTGCTCTTCTAGATCTCGATGCCTGGAATCTTGAACTCCAACTAGCCCTGTTGCCTTCTCCTTAGATTCAATTGCATCGTGAAGTTGGGAATGGAGAACTTCAATCTCTTTTCGAAGATGTGCAAGTTTGGATTCTTTCTCACGGAGATGAAGTTCAAGGGTTGAGATTCTGGCCTTCATACTTCGAACTTCGTGTTCCTTGGATCTGGCGGACTCCTCATTGGTCAGGTACAATTGGCGTTGACTGGTCATACGGTTCTCAATTGTGTTTCGTTCTTCAGTGATATGAACCAATTGCCTCTCAACCCTCTCTATAACCATCTGCCTATCCGCCAACTTCTCATTCCTCTGCCTCAATTCATCCTTTGCCTTCTCCAAAGCATCTAAAAGCTCCGCGTTGTCTGCCTCCAATTGCTCAATTCTCTCTTTCAAGAATCTCAACGTCACTCCAACAGAACTACTAACATCCATTGAGTCGACAGCTCGTTGAATATTCTGTGAACTATCCGCGAATCGAACAGACGGTGATCTTCTGAACGGCACGTCTTCTGAATTCTCGTTGAGGCCAATGCTCGATGCCGCGCGTGGGATGTCAACGTATAGCGAACGGTTTCGGGAGGGAGCAGCTGGAACATTTTCGAATTAGAAGTTCTCCGAGGATCAAAAAGCCAGCAAACACTTACGATTCTGAAGCGACTCCACTGCGGATCTCTGCAAGTTAGCCAGCTTTCCTTGAAGCTCCTCGTATCTCTTCTGACTATCCTTCAATCGACCATCAGCATCCTTTGCTTTCAACTCTTGTCGTTCAAGTTTCAGACTGAAAAATTACAATTTGGATTACTGTACCCTAGAAATCTATAGCTTACGTCACTGTCGCCAGCTCACTCCTCAATCGTTGATTGTCAAGTTCTCCTTTGCTAGCCTTCTCCTCAGCGCTTCGATACTTTTCCAGGATATCACTGATAGCTGATTTGCTGGTTTCTCGTTTGACTTCGAAGGCAGCCTTGACTGTTGCAAGATCGTTGACAAGGCGTTGGTTTTCATCTTGGAGAGCTTTGCGAACTTTTTCGAGGTCGGTTAGCTGAAACAATTTGGAATATTTTTGGCTTAAAAATTATCTAATTTTCCAGATTCCCAGCAATAAATTCGATAAAAATCGGATGATTGTGAGCTGAGTTACAACGAGATTAATGTTTTGAGAGAGACACAGAGAAACGAGAGTACTCTCATCGTCTATGTTACAAGCTTTAAAGGCATATAACTAACTTCAAGGTGGACAAAAATGTTCCAAAATGATTCAAAGGGGACTTCAAGTTCTAGTTTTTGATTTTTAGACAAGCTTGAACCGAATCGTACCCACTTACCCTAAACTGCTCATTTTGCGCCTGCTTCAGCATGCTCTGCGCATCATGCTCCATTTTCCTCAACAAATCTCCGGAAACCTCATTCTTCGCCGCCTTATCCATCAACTGAATCTCCAACGTTCTCACTTTGTTGCTCAACGCTGTCACATTCTGCTCCAACTCGTTCTTCTTCTCTTCCAAGTTCACATTCTTCATTCTAATACTGTGAACCACTTTGTTAGCTTCACGAAGTTGATCAGCGAGCTCCTGAATCTTCTTTCTCTCCTCATTCCATTTCTCACTCAATCCCTCTTTTCCATTCTTCAGTTCTGAGTTCTGTTTCACTGTCACCGCCAAATCATCTTTGTGCTTTTCTAGATCCGCTTCTGTCGCTTCCAATTTTGCTATCAATTCCATCGTATTCGATTCTAGTGCATTTATCGTCGAATCTCTCTCCGCCAATCCTCCAGTGAGCTTCTCGACATCAGCTTCCAACTGAGAGATCCTCCTATTCTGCTGATCAATCGTCGTTGCATGTTTTGTAGATTGTAGCATTGCTTCCTCCCTCTGCTCCATCAACTTCATCTTCTCCTCTTGTAACGTCTTCTGCTCTTTCTTCAGATCTTCCTCCTTCTCCTCATCCTGCAGCTCCATCTTCCGAAGCTTCTCTTCCAAGTCTCGAGACTTCTCGAGACCATCTTCAATGTCTCGTTTGTAAACGATCTCCTTGTCTTCCTTCTCCTTCACGACGTCTTCTAGTTTCATGACACGTTCTTGGAGTTCAGCGATCGCTTCGTTTTTGGATGTCTCGATCTGAAACAGTTACAGGCGTTATTGGGTGTGGTTTTGGATGTGGTGGGGAGAAATTCAAAAAGTCCATAAACTTTTAAATTTGGAACTATTTTTGAGGTTAAATTTTTCTAATTTCAAAGATTACCAGAATGCAGTTTGTGCTAAAAATCATGAGCCGGGTTAAAGCGATTTGAAGTTTCAAGAGAAACGCAGAGAAGCGAGAGTGCTCTCGTCGTCTGCGTCTCTCTAACTTGTGGACAACTGAAAAGGTGCTTAACTGACTTTAACGTAGACCAAAATGAATAAAAATCACATCGTTTGAAGGGAAATTTGAAAGAAAACAATCAAGAACAATAACTCACCCGACTCCTCTCACTACTCCACTCCTGTCGATCTCCCTCATTCTGCTCATTCATCTTCTCCAACTCCTTCTTCATCTTCTCCTTCAATCTCTCCACCTCCTCTTCCAGATGCAAGTGATCTATCTTCAACTGATCATGCTCCTCCATCAACATCTCATGGATCTTTGTCAACTCGTTCAGCCGAGATTCGCACTCTTTTCCAAACTTCTCCACCGCCAACCGATCCTTCTCAGCCAACTGAAGTTTCGCCTCATACTCCTCCTTCTGTTCAGCCTCGTTCTTCTTCTCCTGCTCCTCCATCCTCGTCAAATCCTCTTTTCTCTCCTTCTCTGACTTGCTCAATTGCTCCTTCAACGATCCGATCTCCTCGTTCAAGCTATCCACCGTAACCGTCTTCTGCTTCAGTTCGTTTGTCAATTTGTCAAAGTTGGCTCTCAAATCACCCAAGAGTCCTCTCAACTCTCCTTCCTCCTTCTCCTTCTCCTTTCCTCTCTTCTGAATCTCCTCCAATTCCTTCTTAAGACTCTCATACTTCTCTTGCCATCCCGCAGAGTCCTCTAGAAGCGCGTCATTCTTCCTCGCAGCATCGTCAAACTTCTCATTGGCTTCTGAAATCTGTCGGGTTCTCTCGTTGAGCTGCTCATGGAGTCTAGAGAGTTCTTGCTTCAGAATTTCAATCTCTCCATTTGCCTCCTCATAAGTGGCAGACAACTGTTGGGTTGAGGTGCGGACATTTTGAATATGCACTTCCTTCTCTTGAATGGATCCTTGCAGATTTCGAATCTCCTCATTTTTCGCATCTAGCTCAATGTTCACCTGCTCCAGTTGCTCATTCAACGTATTTATCTCATTTTTATTCTCCAAAAACTGCTCCTCGCTTAGCTTGCCCTCTCCTTCCATCGCTGTGATCGTCGCTTGACTTTCAGCGAGCTCTCTTCTTAGCTCCGCCTCTTTCTCTTGCATTTCATCAAGCTTCGTTCGACACTCGGATATCTCTAAGTCTCTCTGATCGGCTAGTTCTCTTTCCGATTCAAGTTTCTTGCGAAGCTCATCTCTGTCTGTTTCCAGCATGTCCAATCTTAATGTCTTATCATCTAGATCTGTCTTCATCGCTGCCAAATCGCCTTTCAGTGTTCTCTGCGTCTCTCGAAGATCGTCACTCTCTCGTCTCATCTTCTCCCGCTCCTGACGATCCTTCTCGAACCTTGACTTCTCCTCGCTTTCTCTAATCTTCAAAACTTCTTCATGAGTATCTTCACGTTCTTTAAGCTCCTCTCTGTGACGAATCATCAACTCTTCGATAAAACTCTTGTGTTGTCGATGTGCCTCGTTTAATGAATTCTGCACAGATGTCGTTAGCTTCTCTTGTGAATCCTTCTGCTCTTCCAGATTTCGAATCTTCTCTGACGCCTTCCGTAGATCATCTTCTAGCTTCTTCAGATCATGCTCTCGTTGCGAATAGACACTGGATCGTTTTCTTTCTGCTTCTCGATCATCTTTTCGCCGCTTTTCTTCTTTTTCCAGATCCTTCTTCGCTCGATCTCTCTCCTTTTCTGCTTGCCGTGCTGCTTCTCGAGATTCATCGATTTCACCGTTTTTATTTGTGAGCAGCTTGCGCATCTTACGTGCCACATCCATTGGCGACTCTTCTGAAAATTGAGAAAGGTCTGCAATTAGAATTTTGAAAAATTTTGGAAAAAAATTGTGCCTAAAACTTATGAAAACTAACATCAACTACTCCTGAAAACCTAAAAATGCGAAAATTCTAAAATTAGAATATTTGAAATTCCGCAAAAAGAAATATTGGTTTTTTCTGAAAAAAAAAAGAAAATATACTTTTTTTTTGTTTTCCCAAAAAAGCAATAAAAGCCAAAATTATAGGAAATCCATTAGCGATAGCTATATTCCGTTTTTGCCTTTTTTTTTGGAGAGTGAAGACTAAAAACTACAAACTACAAACTACAAAATCCACACTATAAACGACAATATCGAAACACTCGAGTTTAGATTCGAAAATGGAAGAATTTGAAGAAATTTGAATAATTATGGATTTTAGTATACTCTTAGTCTTACATTTACTATTAGTTTAAAACAATTTCCATTTTTCAAGATTTTCAAAAACGTTGCAGATTCGCTCTACCAGACAACTTGGCAGGGTTTCCCGTATTTTAATAAAAACTATGATATTATCATTAGAGCACATTTGCAATATTAAGGTTGTTGAAGGTTTTATAGCTAACATCCTTAAAGGTGGGGGGACAGGAGATTTTTCGTAGTTTTTTTGTAGCTAGAGTATGCATTCTACCATCACGGTGTACAACGCTTAATGTCACTCTGCGTACAGCTGTCGTCCTCGCCTTTATGTATGCAATCGTGCGTGCGCTTTCTCATTGCCCGCGTGGCTCAGTCGGTAGCGGCGCCGCACCCTCAATCATTGCCCTCACAAGTTCAACTCCTCGAGGGGCATATTTGAACGGAATTCGAGAACATTATTTCTTTTCATGTCCCCCCACCTTTAATATGTTAGTTAATTCCCTAAATACGTGGAACTTTGTATAAAGTCTCTAACTTGAACCCAAACTATCTCGGTTCTTTTACAAGATATCAAAAATTCGTCAACTGATAAACGGTTTATCATAAAATGTTAAAAGTTTTATCAGTTGACCACTTTTTGATATGATTTACAGGAAACCAAATAAATGTTTCCAAGTGAGAGATTGGTAGTTTCATGTACGTCGCAAAAGGTTCCTTTTGTTTTACCCAATTTATCTCGGTTCCTGTAAAAGATATGAACAATTGTTCGACTGATAAAACTTTTATGAAAATGTCAACTACATTTTATCAGTTAACAACTTTTTAGAATCTTTTACAGGAAGCTAGATAGCGTGATTCAAAGTTGATTGGCCCTCTTCTCATGGGCATAACTCTAATAGGAATGCTACAATTCAACAATCTAACGATCTCACAATCTAACAAGAAAATTTCTAGAACTTAAAATTTTGAAAACAAAATAAAAAGAAATAAAAAACCAACTAAAAAACGATTCGACAACAACACCACCGCTAGCTCTAGAAGGACTCTGACTTTGTCCTCTGCCTCCGGCCATTTCGTTTGCCATCCTGGATAACTGCTCAAGTGTATCCTGAAGTTCGTCGTTGTGCTCGCGAAGCTTCCGTACTTCATCCTCTTTTCGCTTCAAATCGCGCTGTCGCTCGTTTGACTTCTCTTCGGCCTATTTAGAATGTTTGGAGGTATAATAATTCATTGTGAACTCACTTTCATATAATTCTCTGTGACAGACTGCAATTGACGAAGCGTCTCGTCCAGAACGTCGTCTTTTTCTCGCTTCATTTGGTCTTTTAGGTCTTGGTTCTGGAAATATGAAAACTGTGAATTTTTAGCGTTTTTTTCTCTGATTTTGCAGATTCTATGAACCGAAACGCGCTAAAAATCATGAAAATCGGTTTGTTTTATGGCGAGATATGGCAAGTTGAAGTTCCAAAAGAGACGCAGAGAAACGAGAGTGCTCTCGTTGTCTGTGTCTCTTTAGTCCGGCGGATAAATTAGAAGATGCATAACTGGCTTGAACGTTGACCAAAATAAACAAAAATTACATCATTTTAAAGGATAATTCAAGGGCTTTTGAATGGTGTGAATTAGTTATAGTCCATTCCAAGAAAAATCGACTTCTAGCTAAAACTTTGTTTTCGAGTTTGAACTTTTCCATTTCACAGATTTTAAGCATTCTAATGCTTCAAAAACTATGAAAATTGGTTAGTTCTGAGCCGAGATACAGTGATTTGAAGTTCCAAGAGAGACACAAGGAAGCGAGAGTGCTCTCGTCGTCTGCGTCTCCAATGGTCAGCATTAAAGGCGCATAACGGGCTTTAATGTAGACCAAATTGAATAAAAATTTCATCATTTTCAAGAGATTTTCAGTAGCTTTCGAATGATACTTTTTCAGTTCAAATTACTCGAAAAAGCGCGCTCCACTGAACAGAAAAAGCTTGCAGTTCGAATTTTAGGCTGCGAAGGGGGAGTTTTCTCAAATTCAGTCAAAAATCTATGCGTTTTGAGGGAAAAAATGAAAGAAAAAGCAAACTAAAAGTAAACCATAAATTGCTACTCTTCAAAAAAAATACTGATTGAACATTTGAAAATCTAAAATTATCGAAAAACGGATTTTGCTTTTTTTTCCGAAAAGAGAATCCGGTATGGCCAAAATGATAATTCTAGTCAATTTTCAAAAATCTGTCAATCACAAAAAACTGAAAATTCTAGAATGTCTTTTTCAGAAGTCGCGCTCCAGCGAACTACAGAATCAGATGTTCAACGAGTTCAAAAAGCTCTAAAAAATTACTGGTGAAATAGGCGGAAATAGGAAAAAGGACACCTTTTTTGTGATTTGACCCCAATTTTTTCCAGTTTTTGACTTCAAAAAGAGCCCAAAGTGTGCTCTTTTCCCTGCAGAACAAACCTTTTGCTCGGCGTGTCGAATAGCTTTTCTCATAAGTGTTGCGCACCGCGTGAATTCAGTCAATTGGCGGTCCAAATCGTTGGCAGTCGTCGTACGTAATTCATGGAGCTTTAATAAGAAAAAGAAGGTGTAGGAGAAGGAATTGAAAAGAGCGAAAATCAGGAAATTTTGGGGAAAAAAATTTTCTGAAATTTCGAAAATCCTTAATTTAAAAAAAAAATTGGGAATATGTAGATAGGATACCAAAAACAGATTTTTGAAATTCTGAAGTAAGGGGGATTGATAAAATTGAAAATATTCAAAAAAGATATTCCTTCAAGTTTCTGACGTTTTGAATTTCTGAGTTCCTAAAAATTTTTTTCTGAATTTCTGTTTCTGGAGTTTAAAATTCTCAGAATTCAAACTTTCTTATTATATTTTGAAATTCCAGTGATTCAGAATCTCAGAATCTCAGAATCTCAGAATCTCAGAATCTCAGAATCTCAGAATTTCAGAATCTCAGAATCTCAGAATCTCAGAATCTCAGAATCTCCGAATCTCAGAATCTCAGAATCTCAGAATCTCAGAATCTCAGAATCTCAGAATCTCAATATTTCAGAATTTCAGAATCTCAGGATTTCCGATTCTCAGAATCTGAGAGTCTGAGAATCTCAGAATCTCAGAATCTCAGAATCTCAGAATCTCAATATTTCAGAATTTCAGAATCTCAGGATTTCCGATTCTCAGAATCTGAGAGTCTGAGAATCTCAGGATCTCAGATTCTCTGATTTTCCGAGATTCGGAACTTCCGAATTTCAGTATTTCAGAATTGCATAATCTCAAAATCTCGGAATCTAACCTGTCTTTTGACTGCCGAAAACTCCTTCCACAAACTGATCAATTTCCGGTGTTGGCTCTCCATTTGGTTTCGATAGCGCTGCAAAAGGAAGGCGAATTTTATTTTTGAAAAAAAAATGAAAGAAGCTTCCGGTTGTACTTCCGGTGCACATTTTATTATTTAGGAACAGGAAGTTTCCTGAACTACTACACCTACCGTATTCTCCGATCGAAATCTCATTGACTCGGTGTGCTGTTGTTGTTGGAGCTGTTGAAGTTGCTTGCTCAGATTCGTCGCGTCCACTCTCAAATGCTCATTTGCCGCCAGTGCGGCGTCGTTCTCTTCTCGGAGCATTTCATTCACCTCTTCCAATGTGTTGTTTCTGAGATTTTCTGATGTAAATTTAGAATTTTTCGATTTTTTAGATTCCGTGCACCAGAGTGCGCTAAAAATCAAAAGAAACGGTTTATTTTGAGCCGAGATACAGCGATTTGAAGCTTCGAGAGGGAGACGCAGAGAAGCTAGAGTACTCTCGTTTCTCTGCGTCTCTAACCGGCGGATAACTTTAAAGGCGCATAACTGGCCTGAAAGTGAGCCAATATAAATGAAAATTACACAGTTTTAAAGGAAATTTCAAGGTCTACATTTTCCTTTTACAACATTTTCTCTTAGAACCCAAAAAATAGGTAACTCACTTGAACAATTCCTCCTTCAACTTGGCGAACAACTCATCCAAATTCTCCTCACCACCCATCGCATCATCATTGTAATGAGCAAGGACCCTCGGACTGCTCCGATGTCTACCGTAATCCCCTAGAGGACTCGTCGATCGATACCGATTGCCACTCATTGACTTATGTCTGTTTCGTAATCCATTAATTGCGTAATTTGGTGTTCGGGAAGAATGAATTAAGGCAGTGGAATTCAATGGAATGTCTATGGTTAGGGAAGGCATTGAGATATTGGTTTGGTTGTGGAGATGAGTGAGTCCGGGGTTGGCGAAAGACGAAAGGGTAACATCGGGACTAGGAGTGGCGAAAGACTCCATAGAATCGGCATTGGCACGTTGACGAAGGCGTTGGAGCTGGAAATTGGGCGGAAATTAAAATTCTATTTAGGATACATTGTTCCTGTGTCAAATATCTAAATTATCCCGTTTCCCCTCCCCTACTCAGATCGGCCTCGTGAGGGGCATTTTTTCTGAGTCTTTCATGTCCTGCCCTCTATTGTTTCATTACCTGGTCAATAAATTAATTCATAATTCAAATCCGCTTAAAACAGCCTTCTGGGGAAATACAAACATAAAAATCGGAAAAGTACACTAGCCAAAAGATATTGACACGTTGAAAAAATCGAACTCGAAAGTGTCCGCTCCAAAGTCATCCCTCTTATCCACTACGCGACGCGGGAACGGAGAGCTCGGCGCCGCCAAGGAAAGTGATACCCCCGCGTTGGTGGTTGGCGCGCAAGGTGGTGGCGCCCGTGCCACCACTCCTCCGCCGCTCTGTGTTGCCACGATGGCGCAATCGGTAACACGGCTGACTTTGGAGCGGACACTCCCAAGTTCAATTCTTTGAGCTCACCAATATCTTTTTGCCAATGTTCTTGTTAGATTTTCGCATAATTTTTCCCGAAATCTCAATTTTAAAAGGGTTTATGACATTTTGCATAAATTTTTTTGGTATTTTAAGTATTGTTGCTTATGGTTTTTTTTCCCGATTCCTAAAGTAAATTCTTCTCCGATCATCACTTTCACTTTTGTCGCTTCGCATCGCCGCCGTAGAACTGTGTAAAATGGCGGCTAGCGTACACAAACAAGTGACCAACAACATGACCAATGCAAATAGAATGTAAAAAGAAGAAAAAAGAAGGATGAAATAAAAGAGGAACTGTAAATTTACACCCTTTTCGAATTCTCATTTCGGCGAAAAAGTTTTTTTGAAGTTCGGAGAATTGATTAGATTAGGTGATAAGCGATTGGGCAGTAAATCGTTCGGAAAACTGAAAAAAAAAACTAGAAGTTCCTAGTTCAGACTAATTCGCTGTTTTCAAAAATCTAGTTTTCATTGTTCTAGGATGAAAATGAAGCGAGATATGGTATTTTGTGATTTTCGTGTTGAGACCCGTTTTTCACAACTTTCCCATTTTTCAAGCACTGAAAAAATGTAATTTCTGAAATCAGCGCAAAAAAACTACCCTAGAAATTATTGTCAGAGTTTTTTTTGCAAAAAAAAATTGGGTTACTGTAGCGCCGATTCTGTGCAATGCACCGAATCTGACGACAAAATGCAGAAATCTCTCAAAACAGGTTTTTCTAGGGGTAAAAAGGCATGAGGGCTACGAATTCGAGTTCTAAAACCTTGAAAAATAACTTATATCATGAGAAAAAAAGGAACTTAGACGACCAACCTGTTCATTAATACCCTGAATCACTTCTCGGTTCTTTCGATTTTCAGCAATACCGGCGTCCAGACGGGATCGACATTCTGAAAGATCCTCGGTGACACGGACCACGTCTTCCGAGCTGGCAGCGGATTTCATGACGATTCAGAAGACGGTAGAGGGATTCAGAAGATACACATTCTGGAATATTTGAATATAAATTTTATGGAATTTTTTTTTTTGAAAAATTTGAAAGATAAAAGTTTTTGATTTCAGAAAAAAACCTTGAAATTCTGAAATTCTAAGTTCTAAGCAATTTCAGAAAAATTAAGAACTCTGAAAATTTGGAATTCAAAACATTTGGAAATTTCAGAATTTCAGAAACTCGCAAAATCCAGAAAAATAAGATTATCCAAGTTCCCAAAACTGTAATTTTAGAGAAATTTCGGATTTTTCGAAACTCTGAAATTTAATTAAATTCAGAAAATTGAATTCAGAAAATCAGAGTTTTAGAAACTCCAAGAAATTCAGAAGAACCTAGAATATTCATAATTTTGAAAAGTTTTTGATTAAGAAAAAATCCAATATTTAAGAATTTTTTAAAATTAAAAAATTAGAATTTCAGAATTCTGAGTTTTACAGAATATCAGAATTCCAGAAAAAATTAGAAAAACTCTAAATATTCGATTTTCTGAAATTCCAGAAATTCAGGAGAAATAGATTTTCTGAATTCCAAAAAACTTTTTAAATTTAGAATATTCCAAAATTCGGAAATCCAGAAAATTTGAAACTCCAAGAAATATTAAACTTGGGAATTAGCAAAAAACATCTCGAAATTCTGAAAATCCAGCAAAATCCAAAAATTTCTGTTCTCAAAAAAAAAGAGGAAGTTGCTCCAAAAAAAGCGATGGGCGGGCCCATGTAAGGAAAAGTGGGCGGAGCCTCTTCTCAAAAAAAGAACCAAAGGATCCGGGACCATTTGGATATGAAAATGAGAGGGTTCGATATGGGTGTGGGTGAATTTATGGACTTGGAGACGCAGAGAAAAACTTCTAGGAAAAAAAGAAGAACCGGATTCTTTTGATTTTTCCGCCTTTTTCCTATGCTAGTGAGTGAGAGAGAGAGAGAGAGAGAGAGAGAGAGGAGTAGAATACATATGTTTTCGATTCCTATAGAGACTGTTTTGAAGGCAGATGAGAGAGAAGAGAATTAGAGAAAAAAAAAAGAGAGGAGATTTTTATGGCGGTGTTGTTCTACTAGTAGCGGAACAGTGGGTGTTTTGAGAATGAAAATGAGAGATAGACAAAGAGAATTAGAGAGATTTAGAGAAATTACTGCTTTTCGAAATTGAAATCGTAGCAACATAAAAATGTTCCTTGTTTCGGTCGGTCTGTTTGTCCGGATGTCCTAGAACTGTTTGTGGAAGACTTCGGGATTTGGGGCTCTAATTTTGTGAATTTTGAACATCAAAATTGCGCTTTCTAGATTGTTTCACCGATCGTGTTTTGGCATTTTTGCAATGTTTGTCGGTTTGTACGGATGTCTCAAACCGATTTTTAGCCCATTTTAGGGTTGAGCAACACTTTTCCAATTTTTTGACAATTTTCGAGATCCCCGTGCTTTTTCACCTCTAGAGCGACCTTTTTGAGCGATTTCTGCATTCTGTCGTGAAGTTCGGTGCATGTACAGAATTGGCGCTACAGTAATCTTTTTTCACAAAAAGCGCAGCAAAAATTATATTTCGGGTAGTTGTTTTAGCTTTTCTCGAAAACATGATTTTTTTAATAGTTTCGATAATGGGGTTGCTGCGGTTTCTGCATTTTGTCGTAAAATCCGGTGATTGCACAGAAATGAAGCTACGGTAACCCTAAAAAGCTCGAAGAAAATCACAAAAGTTTGTTTCAGAGCAGCTTTTTACGGTGATTACGAAATTCGCGTTAAATTTTGATTCAAAATATGAAATTTTGACAAAAAAATTGAAAGTTTTGGGTCTCACAGTGAAAACCACAAATTGGCTATAAGTCGGCGAGTTTTAGTCTGAAAATTACAAAAATTAGACTAATCGAATCAAAGAAATTTAGAGCTTTGCAATTGAAACATTTTCGCTACTTGGGACTTACCACCAAAACGTTAAAATCTTGTCAGCTACGCAGTAAAAATACTCACTTTTGAAAAAGTTAAATTCCCAGTGGTTTTCGTGTTGAGTCGCATTTTTTTTTCAACAATCCCATATTTCAAACATCAAAGAAAACAAATTTTTGAAATCAGCGCTAAAAACTACCCTGGACACTCCTTTGCAGTTGGTTTGCGAAGAAGTTGGGTTACTGTAGCGCCGATTCTGTGCAATACATCGAATCTTACGACTAAATGCAGAAATCTCTAAAAAAGGTGGCTCTAGGGTAAGAAGACATGAGGATCACGAATTTGAAGTTTAAAACCTTGAGAAATGATTTCGAACTCCTGAAAAACATAATTTTTGTACCAACGGTTCTAGATTCTGCCTGAGCTACGCCGTCGCAAAATCACGGAAATCCACAAAAAACAAAAAATTCTAATTGTATGTGTTTTTTTCTCAAAAAAAAGCACATATTCTACCAGATGTTTGACATGACAATAGGTGAGGAAAAAGAGAGAGAAGAAAAAAAATTTCGAAAAAAAATTTTCCGGAGGACCTTCAGAAGCTCTCTCTTTCTTTAGAACCCTCTTTTCAATCGGAAGTCACTTCGTCTTATTCAAAAAGGGGGCGAAAAACGATTATTACCTGGCTTTTTGAATCTGTTAGAAGCAGAAGAAGGAGAAGACGTCGGATGAAGAAGAAGACGTGAAAATGGACGGGGCGGAGAGGAAGAGTACGAAATGAATGACAGGTACGACTACTCTTAAGAGTACTCTCAGTTTAAAGGAGCATTTGTATTTCCTGACTTTAGCTTCTCCCGTTTTTTTTTTCTCTCGGGGAAAAGGTGAAAATGGGATTCAGATTTATTGAGGAGACGATTGCCAAAGTACTGCTCCGTTTTAGTAGGTAAAATAGAGTTTTAAAAAGGGACCTGACCCAGAAAACTAGGACTGCGTAGCTGGACGTAGCGAGTTTGAGCTCAATTACCTCGGCTCCTTTAAGAGATATCAAAAATTTGTCAACTGATAAAATAGTTATCACTATATCATCAACATTTTATCAATTTAAAAACTTTGGGTATCTTAGAAAGCGAGATAATAGAGCTCAAAATGAGATATAGGTGGGCGTCACAGACATCTGGTCATAGCTATTTTGATTCCTGTGCTGAAAACCCTGAGTATCTCCGTTCCTAGCAGAGATAACAGAAATCTGTCAACTGATAAAATGTTGCTGATATTATGCTAAGCATTTTATCAGTTGACAAAATTTTGATATCTTTGATGGGTCTCGAGATAATTGAGCTCAATGGGTAAGTACAGGATTTGTGGAAAATTCGAAATTTTTTTTGAAAATTACAATCTTGTAACTCCGAGTTTTGAAAACTCAAATCTTCAGAAATACGAAAGCTCCAAGTAGTTTGGAAAAGTCAAAAATGCAGTATTTCAGAAGTTTTTTAGTTCAAAAATTGAGAAAATCAGAAATTTTGGGAAAATTCAAAGAAATTCGGAAAATTTTGAAATTCCGAAATTAATGAAATTCAAAAATTCAGAAAATTTCCAAAATTCGAAATTCCAAAAATTTTCAAATCTCCCGCCGGACCAAAATCTCAATTAATCTAGAATAAAATAGCACAAAGTTCAGCAGCAATTCGAAGAAAAAAGAAACACAATTCGGCGAAAAAAAAATTAAAATTGCCTCCGATTTTCCGTTTTTTTCCCAGGAAAATTTGTCCGCGAATCCATTAGTAGTCATGGAAAAATAAAAGTGAAAAAATATGTCTCCGAGCCAAAAAATTAATATATCAATCTTCTTTTTTTCCGTTGTCATGACAACTTTTTTCTCATTTTTTCAGACTGAAAATTTTCGTTTTTTTCCAAGGACTAACATTTACCTCCACCCGTAAGTTAAAATTGGCGGGAAAAAATGAATTCAAAATTGTCCCAAAAAAAAATTAAAGAGCACTAAAAACTGCCCAAAGCGAAGAAGAAGAACGTAAGCGCATTTTAGGTGACACTACGTTATTGATAAGAAAATGTGAGTTGATAAGAGAAAATACACAAAAATATTTGCTGTTCAGCCGAAAAAGACAGAAAAATATGCGGTAAATAAAGAAAAAAACGAAAAAATCGGTGTGAGGAGTCGAACCAGAGATTGTAAAGACAAAACTGTGCGCGTAGACCACTCGGCCAAACGTGCAATCGTATAATTAAGGTGCGATGACGATGATAAAGGAAGCGGTGGCGCCTATTTTTTAAAGGACGCTTGCCTAATTGAAAAAAAACCCCTGTAAAAATAGAATAACCTATATTTAGAAATCCAGAAAAAATCAGAAAATGCCAAATGAAAATGACATATTCTCGGGGAGTGCTCCTTTCTCCATAGCCACCCTTGCTCGCTTTCGAATTTCGCCGTCTGCGTCTCCACACCTTCATGTACCCTCTCGCCTTATAAAGAATCCGAGCGCAATGAGCAGCCAGCAGCAGATGTTCCGTGTCCTTCTCCCTCCTGCTTCTGTATTCTGAACATTATTAAAATGGGAGTCTGCCCATTCGGGGACCTCCACCAGCAGCCGGTGGATTAGGTAACGCAAGGCTACGGAAGAGGAAATTGGCTTCGTCTTCTCCTTTTCATAGAACAATCGATTCATTTGCGAGGTTATAGGAGGGGGAGCTTATAGCACAAGTGTTAAAATAAAAGGGCAACGGATAAAAAAGTGAATCAAATTTAAAACGAAAAAAAAGTGAAAAATTGGGGATTAAAGGTGAGATCATGAGTATTCTGACCCAGAATTCTGGGGGTCTTCTGCGTCGATTTACTCCATATTCTCCTCATCGTCGATCTTTGGTGCCAAGTAGAAGCGAAGGAATCCATTCTCCTCTATTGGATACTCAACAACCACTGGAACATCGTTGCACAGCGACAGACGAACGCGATCGGAGAGGGCGGTAGCCTTGGTGAATTGGTTCATGTACTTGATCGAGAAGTTGACATTGACAGGCTCCTTAACCTCCAGAGTCACCGCTTCCGACTCATCGTCAGTGTTGGAGGATGGTGAGTAGGTGACCACTGACGATCCGATGTCTCCTTTTCCGGTGAAAACGATGCCGGCCTTGGTGGCGGTGATGTTCAGAGAGTCCGAGAAGGTGGCAAGATCCTTGCACGTCTTCTGGAACTCGGCGGCTGGCATCTCGCAGACGACGGCGTAGTCTTGCTCTGGGATTCCGAGATGCTCGCTGTCGATATCCATCATTTTCACCGTCACATCTTGAGTCTTGTCGCGTTTTGGATCGGCGAATGTGAATATGATCGAGTCTCCCTCGTTCTCCTCGTACTGCAAAAAAATAGGTGAAATAGAGAATCTGGGTCTTTAAAATTTGAATTTCGCGCCTATTCTTCTCTATATCTAGCCTAGGAGCGTGAGCAATTCCAAAGAGCGACTAATTGGACGCGTATTACGCTCCACCAGCTCATTCATAACGCGATGGTTAATCTAGCCAAAGATGCGCGGTACGGAGGAAAACCTGACCTTTAGAGGGAAAACGCGCGGTATCAACTGAAAAACCTCAATGTCGAGCAGTTTTTTTATTATTTTCTTGCTAATTGTTCGGTTTCTGTGCTTTAAATTCAGTAAAATAGTCTTCTGAAGTCAAAACACGGCGGTTTTTTTATCGAAATTCGTCGATTTTCTAGAGCCAAAAAAAAACAGGTTTCATTCACACAATGCCATTTTAGCTCGATTTTGACGCTTTTGTGGCACCGCCCATGTCCCGAGACGCTTTTTCACGCAGCATGAGCTAAGCAACTGGCTCTAAAACAGCAGAAAATCGATTTTTAGGCACCACCGCACCTTCAACATGCAGGTGTCATCGTTGTTGGCGCACTTCAACGCCTTTGACATGTTGGCGAGAGACAATCCGAGGTTGATGGTTCTGTCGCAGCGGTAGGTGTCGAAAAGTCCGACCTGAAGTTTTGAAATTCGAATTTTTGGAGGAAATTTGATTTTCCCTCACCTCCAACTTGAGGGAGACAAGCGCGACGTGAGAAGAGTCCATGGCTTGGAGACTCATCGCCGTCTCGGAGCAATCGAATGGAGCATCGGTGACGAGATCCTTGATCGACTCGACGATCTTCTTCAGGAGTCCGGAGTTGGCGAGCTTGGCCTCAAACATTGTGGCGATGAGAAACGGAGGAGTCTGGAAGAAAAATAGGGGAAGTAGAGTGAAATTTCGATGAAATGCGATAGAATTACGAAATATGCGTTCTTCAGCCTGAAAACGCTTTGAAATAGTCGAAATTATGATTGAAAATCAGCAGAAATTTGATTTTCTCTAGTGAAAAATCAAAAAATCAGAAAAATTAGGTCGAAATGAGACGATTTGAGGGGAGGGAAGCTTCGCGAAGTGCGTTTTCGCGCCTAGATTCGAATGAAACTTCGCGCCTAAATTTGCCGCATTCGAAAAAATGCGCCAGTGAAGGAGTTGGCACAGTTTGCGTGTTTGTTGACTCCAGACTTGTAGGTGACGCGCAATCGGTTTTCAGGTCGTTTTTGGTGATTTTCAGACAAATTTCTGCTCTTTTGCTGTCTGAAAATGATGGAAAACTGCTTCAAAAGTGTTGTTATTCATTAAAATCGACAGTAATCTCTCCAAAATTTGACAAAAATCGTCAAAAACAGTCTGGAGCCTGAAATTTAAAAAAAGCATGGAAAACTCCTCTAAGCCTTCAAATTTCAGTTTTCAAAAATTTTACTGAAATTTTTCAGCATAAAAACTCAGGAATCGATGTTTTAGGCAACTGAATACGACCATCAATTGATATAAAAGCTGAAAATATTCTGAAAATTATGTTAATTTCTCTGAAAGAGTCTGATTTTCCAGAATTCTGTGCTGAAACCTCTGAAAACCTAAAATTTGAAAACCTGGAGCTATAAAAACTGGAAAAAAACCAAAGAATGGCTGCAAAAGACAAAAACGACCAAAAAAATTCCGCCTAAAATAATTCGAAAATATGTAAAAAAATAGCGAAAAATCTGAAAAATAAATTTCATCTGGAAAATAAAGAGTTAAAATCGAGAAAATTGATCCGGAAATTTTTTGAAAGGTTTCTGTAGTTGTCGTTGTGGGAACTTCGGACATCCGCTATGTGTTTTCTGCTCCCCGGCTGCCATGACCTGTATAATCACTTTTCTATTCCAAATATGTGATGATCATCGGCAAACAAAGCTTAGGTGAAAGGACAAAAAACACAGAGAGCTCCCCCAAAAAGGTGTCGTGCTTTCGGAGCACTTAACTCTGCTCTTTGAATGGGGGTCAAGAGAGTGGATGATGCCACGTCATCGGGTGTTCCTTGAGAGCCTTTTGTTTTGAAACTTGAGGTGCTCCTCAACTCGTTTGAGAGAGGGAGGGAGTGAGGGATATTGAGAGACGCAGAGAAAACCAATTTAGAAAAAAAGGCGAGTTTTCACTGCTGTCATTTTGAATTTCATCAGTTTTGGCCTTATTTTCAGTTCGCAACCCAATTAACTTCCTGCCTATGGGCTTAGGCTTCCCGATTCTCAATAGAGCGCATTTGCCGAAATCTGTCGCTTCAAATCGGTTGTCCAGGTAGATATGTGTCACTACTTGGGGAATAATAATTGGTCTAGTTAGTGTTGGTTATGTTATAAGTGTCCCGAAATTTTCACTGTCCCATTTTACTGTCTTTTCTCTCTCTCTCTCTCTCTCTCTCTCTCAGTTTTTCGAGAAAGAGAGAGAGAGAGAGAGAGAGAGAGAGAGAGAGAAAAGAGAAAGTCGTTTATTTAACCTTCGCATTTTCTCCTGAATGAACAAGAAACGAAAAAACACAAAAAACGGGCCGCCCGTTTGAATACTGACCAACAGGAGGGACAAAAGGTGAAGCCACGCCCACTTTTTTCAAGGGGAAAATTGAACAATTGGTACTGTCTCAGACAGATGTTTAACGGATGCTTCTGATTTTATTGTGTAGAAACTTTTTTTTCCGAAGTTTTTTTCAGGGTTTTCCGATTGGAAAATTTCCCGTATTACTGTAATTTTGACATTTTCATAGTCTCGATTTTAAGATTTTTAGTTTTTGGATATATTCGAAAAATTGAAATCTAGGATTTCGAAAATTTCAGATAAATCTCGAAAACTGAAATTTGAATTTTTGAGATATTCGGCTTTTCAGAACTTGAAAAATTTGAACGATTCAAAGATTTTCAGATTCATGAACTTTTTGAAATTTTCAGATTTTAAAACTTTCAGATCTTTGGATTTTCACATTTTTGAGATTCTTGAAAACGTTGAAAATTTCAGATAGTCGAGATTTTTTGGATTTTCAGATTTTGAATTTTCAGGCTTTTCAAATTTTCTGATTTTTTAGATTTTTGGAATTTCAAGGGTCTCAGAGTCTCAAAATCTCAGAATCTCAGAATCTCAGAATCTTAGAATCTCAAAATCTAAGAATCTAAGAATCTCGAAATCTAAGAATCTAAGAATCTAAGAGTCTAAGAAGCTCAGAATCTCAGAATTACAGAATATCAATATCTCAGAATCTCAAAATCAGAGAATTACAGAATCTCAGAATCTCAAAATCTCAGAAGCTCAAAATCTTTCAAAAAACCAGAAAATAAATATTTGAAACATTCCAGAAGCACTCAGACAGAAAGCTCTTGAAAAAAATGAAAATCGTTGACCATTTTCCGTTTTCCTGTAGTACCCCTACTTGAGATTTTGTTGGTCAAACAGTGACTGATTTTTGAGTTAGCTCATTCGATGTTTCTAGGCCACCAAAAGTTCGGCCATGGTCACTGGTCACAAAAAAAAAGGAGAAAAAGGGGCATCTCCAAAAAGTTGGTATTGACATTTGGGATTCGAAAATGTGCCGCTGGTGCATTGTTTGCCTACAAAACAACACTCTCACGACCAGAAAAAAAGCAAAAAAAGGGAGCAGAGAAGGTGAAAGACGAACTTTTGGTTTTGGAAAAAAATAGCTTTTTGGAGTTTTAGACCTCGAAAATATCCTGGAAAAGAAAGATCCCTGAACTTCAAACCACTTTAACTCGGCTCCTGTGAAAGATATCAAAAAGTGGACAACTGATAAAATATTCAGAATTTTATGATAAACATTCTATCAGTTAACAATGTTTTGACATCTTTAACAAAAAACAAGATAAATTGACTCAAAGTTATGGGACTTTAAAAGTTAGTGTTTTCAAAAAGGCTACCTAACTTTGAGCGTTTATATTTCGGTTTTTCTGAAAGATATTAAAGAGTAGTCAACTTATAAAATATCTATTATAAAATTTTAAACGTTTTATCAATTGACCATATTTTGATATCTTTTACAAGAACATAGATTAATCGAGTCAAAGTTAGAGAACCTTTCTAATACAGGTTTTACGATTTTTTCGAAATTATAAATCGAAGGGTTCTTTAACTTTGAGTCAATTTATCTAGGACCCTGTGAAAAAAAATAAAAAGTGGTCAACTGATAAAATGTTGGTAATATTATGATGGAAATTTTATCAGTTGACAACTTATTGATATCAATTACAGGAATCTAATTGAATTGGGTCAAAATGAAGAGACCTTTTTTACGGGCCAACAAGAAAACCAGATTTCTCTAAGTTTTGAAATGTTCAAAAATAAAAAAAAACGGAAAAAATACAGATTTTGGATATTTTTGATTCCAATATTTTGAATTGGAAAATCCCAAAAGTTTAGAAATTCAAAAATCAGGACAATGCTCAAATCAGGATTTTCAAAAAATTAGCAAAAAACGAGATCCTTAGTTTCTGAATTTCTGAATTTCTGAATTTCTGAATTTCTGAATTTTTGAATTTCTGAATTTCCGAATTTCTGAATTTTTGAATTTCTGAATTTCTGAATTTCTGAATTTCTGAATTTCTGAATTTCTGAATTTCTGTTTTTTTTTTAATTTTCACAGTTATGGTTCTAAATTCACCGGGTCTGAATTTTCTAGATTCACAAAGTTTTTTGGAAATTTGTGAAATTTTAAAATTCAACTTCGAAGCTCGGAAACCCTAGGTAGTATCTATCCAGGTTCTCTAGATTATGCTAGCAGCCCTTCCATCCTCTATTCCATGAAACCCAATGCTTAATAGCCTCGATTACCCCCCTCAATCAAAACACCCCATTTCCTCTTTCTAAAAACTAGTAGTACTTAATGTTTCTCTCTCTCTCTCTCTCTCTCTCTCTCTCTCCCCATCAAAGCAAGCTTTCCTGTCCCCTGGTCAAGTGCATTTTCGCACCTGTTCCGTTTCTATGTTTACTGTCCAACAGGCTCCGCCCCTTTCCTCTCAATCTCTCTCTCTCTCTCACTCTCTCACTCTGTATATCTCTCTCCGAGAAGACAAATATTTTTGGTTCTTTTCTCTAGACTCCCACCCTGTCGGATAGAAGAAGCCAGAGCGTTGACCAAAGGAGCTCTTCTCTCAGAAATGCTGTTTTTTTCGGCTGCTCTGGTTACGGTAGCCGTCGTTGCAGCCTATGATATTGACTGCAAGTGGAAGAGCAATATTTCAGGTTTGTCGAACATTATGTTTTTCAATTTTTCTGGAATTTTTTGAAATGTGCAATTTTGCGTTGAGGCGGTTACAGTATTCCTTGAATACCGTACCCCGTCCATATACGTCGTCGTTGACCGCGTAGCACTGACTATAACTGTGCAATTTTGAACAGGTCGATTTCAAAATTACACCAATAAAATCTGTGGATCTTTGTGATTCCAATGAATATAAAAATGTCTAGTTTTCTTTTCTAAAATTTTGCAAAAAGATAAACATAGTTAATTCTAAAAATAGGTCAGGAGGGTTCTTAACCTTCCCCATCAAGTCACTTTTTTTTTCAAAAAAATTGATTTGAGTGTTTTGTTTTTTTTTCGTTCTTAAGTTTGTTAATTACATTAACATAATTATGCTCAATTAAGGGAAAATTAAAAATCTGGCCTAGAAATCCTGAAGTTAGGCCAGCTAGTCTTTTCTCGATTTAAACGCTTTATAGTCAACTTTGAATCCCTTTAAAAGTGGTTCAAATTTTTCGGATTTTTTCTGAAAGTTTCAGCTTATACTAAAGAAAACTAGAGCTTCATTTTTGCAATTGACAACTTTTTTGTAACTTTTCATATTTTTGAGCTATGCGTCTTTAAAGGTGATAACGCTTACAGGCCACTGGAAAGAAGGACATGGTATTTTTAAAGGCGCATATCTCAAAAACTAAAGAAGCTACAAAAAAGTTGTCTATTACAAAATTGAAGCTCTATTTTTTCTTATTACAGTCTGTAATTTTCAGACGATTTCGAAAATTCTGAAAAACTTTTGTAGTACTTCAAACTTGAATTTTCCCACTTTTTGACTCGTTAATTGAATCAATATAAATGGGACCAATTAATACTGTAATTCAAGAAAAGTGTGTCTTAGAAAAATTAAAGTTTGGCCATTTTTTGATCTACTCACTTTTTCAAACTTCCCAAAACTTAGCGATTCAGGTCGCCGCGTCTTCTTTCCAAAAGTCACAATGACCGTTTTCCACAAATCCCATTGAATCCATAATTGGCCATAATCTGTCGTCCGTGTCCTTATTTAGAGGGTAACGAGGTTAGGAAAAAAGAGAGAAGAGATGGAAGAGGATCAGGGATCAGTTGTGACAGAAAATTGACATTTTGGGGATTCGAAATTTAGAAGATTCTGAGAATTCTAACGTTGGAAACAATTAATCCAGAAGTCTAGATATTCCAGAAAGTCTCAGAATCTCAGAATCTCAGAATCTCAGAATCTCAGAATCAGAATCTCAGAACCTCATATATGCTAATTAGGAAGAGGATATCATTTTAAAATACAAAGATTTCAAGAAAAAAACAGTTTGAAAAAAATGTTGTGGTCCCTAAACATAAGAATCAAAATTTTCAAAAATCCGAAATTCTCAAATTCTCAAAAAGGTGACTACAGTAAGAACAAATGTTTTTCTGACTACCGTATCATGCAGTCAGCTACACAATTATGTACATATACACCTTACAAACATTCAATTATCTCCTCACTATATATTCATGAACCTTCTCTCCCTTCTCGATTTCCGAAAGGTCAACATTCGACGAACAGGTGTTCAACAAATGAACCCATTTTTCTCTGCGTCTCTCTCTCTCTCTCTTTCTCAATAAGGTTAAAACTTCCGCTTTCTGGTTCTCACAGTTGTTTATGTTTGTTTTGCGGGGGCGATATCTGGAGAAAATGGGGGCTCTGGACTTTGAGCTCAATTATCTTGGTTTCTAGAAGAGATATCAAAAATGTAAAAATTACATAAATGTTTTTGATATCATAGAAAACATTTTATCAGGTGACAAAAATTGATTCCTTTCAAAGGAACCGAGATATTCAAGCTCAAAGGGGTGGTGGCACCGACGCTAACAAATTTTGGAAACCTGAACTTTGAGCTCAATTATCTCGCCTCGTATGAAAGATATCAACATTTTAAAAATTAATAAAATATTTGTTATGAAATAACCAACATTTTTGTAGTTTTCAAAATTTTAATATCTCTTATAGGAACCGAGATAATTGCGCTCAAATGACGCATGTTACTAAGCTCAAATAGCGCATGTGTCGCCACAACTAGGAGACATCCGGACACGCAGAACACACAGAGTACAAAATTTTCGGTTTTTTCAGACATTGAAGACGTCGCGCATCACAAATATCAGGTTCTTGAAGAATGTCTGTTCTACAAGTTGACCAGCGAAGCGGATCGTATGCAAGGTAAGCGGTTTTTTGGGAGATTATAAAATTGGCGGAGAAAGAGAATTGCGGGGAAAAAAACTTTGAAGAATGGGAATAGAAAAGTCGACTGGTTTTCTTTTAAAAGTTAGTTTAAGAGGCATGAAAACCGTCGTAAAGAATTATATTTAGAAGCTTCAGGGATCAAAACTCTGAAAATTATAAATTCCAAGAAATTTCAAATTTTATTCAATTCCGTAAAACAAACCAGGCAATCAAAATGTTCCAAAAAAACGAGTACGATATTTGAAAATTCGGAAGTTCAAAAATTCCATATTTTCAGACAAGAGCAACGCTCTGATGATGCTTCCACCAACCGTTGCAGCCGGTGAAACATTGGAAGTTCAGGTTTTGGATGGTTCCATTACTGAGATGTGGATGAATGAGGTGTTCAAGGAGATGAACATCAATGGATTTTTGAAATTGGTGAGTGTGCATTCTGACGTGACGGTGTACATTGTTTAGTGTTCACCATATCTCAGCTGGTAGCAACGTGGCACCTCCAACAGTGGGCCTACAAGTTCAACACCTCGAGGGGTGCCCCTAAACTTTGAACTGATTTATCTCACTTTCTGTGAAAGGTATCAAAAAGTAATCAACTGACAAAATGTTTATCACAATATCACTAACATTTTATCAGTTTTATACTATTTGATATCTTCTACCAGAAGTGAGATAAATCGGCTCAAAGTTCTTAAAACAATTTGTCGAGAAATATAATGCTGGGTATGCAAACAACCCAACTGAAAAATTCCAAAAATTTTGCAGTCCTGGAAAGATCGTCGACTCCGATGGAATCCCGAAGAATGGAAAACCGAAAATCTTCGCTTGAAGTCGATGGGAAGACTATGGTCTCCAGATATCAATTCGGATAAGTGAGTTTTTACAAAAATGTCGTAGAATGCGATGTATTGTACGCAACGACCAACTAACGACAAAACAGAGTCGTTTATAGCGAATTGTTGAAAAGTGTCGTGAAGTATGATGTATAGTGTTTGCTGCCGAAACATTATACTCTACGACGAAATTTGAGTGTTCAAATTTTTTGTGTATTGTACGTATTGTATTGTACGCAGTGTATTGTACGCAGCCAGTGTTTACGACCAAAGCACCCAATTTTACGACACAAATTCCAGACTCCAAACTGGCGCACAATCCACGGATTTCGTCAACTACCATGACATTCAGTCGAACTACAATGGAAATGTCACAGCAAGACTGGAATTCAGAATGAAGGCGCAGTGTTCCATTGACTATACTGAGTATCCAAATGTAGGTTATTTTGATTTTTGATTCCCCGCGAAATTCAAACTTCTCGAAAAGTTACAATCTGAAGAAATTGGGATCTTTGAGACCCTATAAAAGTAGTCCTCCAAATTTTTGAGACTTTTCTGAAAATTCTAGTGTATACTAATCGAAAATAGAGCTTCAATTTTGTAGTTGGCAACTTTCTTGTAACTTCTTTGGTTTTTGAGATGTCCGCCTTTGAAAATATCCTCCTCGGGAGCTTTCAGTGGGTGTTATCACTTTAAAGGCGCATACCTCCAAAACCAAAAACGTTTTAAGAAAGTTGTCAACTACAAAATTAGAGCTCTATTTTTGTTTAGTATACGCTAAAATTTTCAAAAAAAACTGAGAATTTTGGACTAATTTTATAGAGCTTCAAAGTTAGCTATCTTCCACGAAGTCATTATCTTTTTGTCCTAGGTACTGTAGCTGAGCTTTGAACTTCACCGGCAAAATTTTTTTTCTAGACCAGATTTTTTTGCTCAATCCATATGTTCTACTTATTTTTCTATTTAGGACCGCAAACACTGTTGCTTCAATCTCCAATCGACTCTCTACAAGCGCTATGTGAAATTCATCATGGAGCACGGCGACGGACACGAGATGCTCGACACCAAGAACATCAGAACCAACTGGCATGTAGACCCAACGTGGACATGGATTATGAAGCTTAATCAGGATAATGATAATAGGTACCGTACTTGATTACCGTAGCTTTTCAAAAAATTAAAATTTTTTTTAGAGCCGAACGCCTTGAAGTTTGTGTTGGTGTCGTCCGCAAATCCTCAACTCTAGCTGTTGAACTAACTCTCCCAGTCTTGATTTCCGCTTTAATTTTGTTGTTGGCCCCGTTTTTCGGAAAATTCCATCAACAAATTTATGTGAAAATGTTCGCGCTTCTTTTGCAATTCATGAGTTTCCAGTTTTTGTCCGAGAAGACTCCACAACTCGGATTTGGTGATAATATTCCAAAGATTTGTGAGTTTAAAAAAAATTTCAAAAATTGTCGTACAGTATGGTGTTACGCTGAGTGGTGTTTGCGTACCGAGCATTGCATCTAACGACATATGACATATCAACTTTGACCTAATTTATCTCAATTCCTGTGACAGATATCAAAAAGTTGTCAACTAACAAAATGTTGAACACATTATCCTAAATATTTTATCAGTTGAGCATTTTTTGATATCTTTTACAGAAAGTATGATATATTGATGTAAAGTTTTCTCTCCCTTTTTATGGTGTTTGCGTGCGTAGCAGAGTATATTACAACAATAAAAGACCAAAATTGAATCTGAATAGAAGCTCATCCAACAAATTTTCAAAAAATCATGGCCTAGCTTTTTCTAGTCCACCAAATTCAAAAACTTCCAGACATCTTCTACGCCTTCACAGTCGGAATGACCGTTCTCAGTCTCATCGCCACCGTAATGATCTCCGCAATGAGTCGTGTGAAGAGAAAGGTCCCTCCAGCACATCGTTACACTCTTCTAGCCTCTCTTCTGAATGCCAATCTGTGCTGTGGATCCGAAGAAGAGCCAACCACCGACGGAACTTCGTCCAAGGTAAGAGATAGAAATCGGTCGCGGCGGTCTCTTTTCCGCCCAGTTCTTATACGCACTCTTTCCCCTCCTCTCTCGCCTGCTTCCGTGGCGCAATAGGCAGCGCGTTCGGCTGTTAACCGAAAGGTTGGTGGTTCGAGCCCACCCGGGAGCGAAACTATTTTTGCGAGCTTTTCTACCAAAAAATAATTTAATATTAAAGATGTCTCAGGACGCCACTTCGGACTGGCTTCAAATCCATTCGGCACTCAATAATCTTTCCTCGATTCTCCTGATTTTCATCTACATCATCGGTGCTATTGTCATTGCTTTCTAAAGATTTCTAATAATTTATTGAATCCCGTTTTTCAAAAAAATGTATCACATTGTAAATAAATAAATCACATAAAAAAGAGACAACCCGCAAAGTTCCCCGGTTCAACAAAAATAATAACAAAAAATTAAAATAGGCAAATTCGCTCTAATACAAATTACAAGTACTTCGAAGCTATCTGATTGTTACATATATCGTAAGAATGCCACCATGCCACATCTTTATAGGATTTTGGATGTTTCAAAATGTATTCCTTATCCTGAAGTTTGTTACAAAGTGTACACCATCCCGAGAATCCACTTCCAATGATGATTCTGAAAAAGTTAAAGTCATGGCCTAGAAAATTCTTCGGCCACCTTACTGATAATCTTTCCTCCATGTGTGGTAGCTTAGGTAGGTGTCCTTATCACTGTTAACTTTCTTAATATGAGTCATAAACTCGTCAAAGGTAGCAAAGTCGTCCACAGCGATGTAGGCGGAGTCTGGGACAACCTGGAACTTTGATTTTTGGGATTTTCAAATTTCTTAGGTTCTGGAAAGTTCTAGAAAGTCCTAGATCTTGAGGACTTCCAAAAAATTCACAAATCTCACATTCAAGTTCTTATAATACTGCCTTGACAACACTATTGGGACCACCATTCGGTCGTTTAGAGCCTTCCAGAACTTTTCTGTGACGTAATCTTTGCAGTTCGAATTTTCCATTGAGATATAGAATTTATAGGGTCTGGAATATGATTTTTTTTAGAATTTTCTTGTTTTTTTTTTGGTTTTTTCAGGTTTATTCAGAATTTGACTTTTCTGGAATCAATAAGTTCCCGGAAACTTCTGAAATTTAATATTTTCCCAAATTCAAGTTTTTCAAATTTCTGAATTTCTGAATTTCGGAATTTCTGAATTTCTGAATTTCTGAATTTCTGAATTTCTGAATTTCTGAATTTCTGAATTTCTGAATTTCAGAATTTCTGAATTTCTGAATTTCTGAATTTCTGAATTTCTGAATTTCTGAATTTCAGAATTTCTGAATTTCTGAATTTCTGAATTTCTGAATTTCTGAATTTCTGAATTTCTGAATTTCTGAATTTCTGAATTTCGGAATTTCTGAATTTCTGAATTTCTGAATTTCTGAATTTCTGAATTTCTGAATTTCTGAATTTCTGAATTTCTGAATTTCTGAATTTGATTATTCTGGAAATTTTCAAAATTTTAGACTGAAAATCTCACTTTATCAATTCCAGTACACACGGTGATTCCTGATTGTCAACTCCGCTACACTGTGGTGCTTGTTTTCCACAGTTCCCCCAGATTTCAATCTGAAAAAATCAAAACTACAGTAATCCCAAAAAGTTAAAAACTCACCTCAAACCCCTTATCAACCATTTTCTTAATCAGATCGAATCTACGATTCGGTGTAAAACAATTTGATGCGAGCCACGTGGCACTTTTCTTTTTGCTCTCCCAAATTGCATTAAGGTCGATTTCCACTGAAAAATTCAAACTTTTCAATGGGGACTAGTTTTGGATTTCTAGGTCACCAAATTTTATATTCGGATTCCTAGGCCATCAAATTGGCTTTGGTTTTCTAGTCCACCAAAACGTACCTGGTGTCTTCCTCTTCACCATAGTACCATATGGTGCCCAAACGTCCGCATCTGTTCTATAAGTCATGGTCCAATTGATCATGTCTGAAAATTTCAGATTTCAAAACACCAAATCTTTGAAAAAGTCAAAAATTTCCACTTACGGCTCTCCGGACGGAAATTATCATTACTAGGACTCTCCAACGACCAAAGAACGTATGGAACGCCAGGTTTTCTCTGGGACTTCATCTTTTTCAGCTTTTCACTCTAAAAATTCTGTTTTTGGGATCCTAGGCCATCCGAAGTACTCACTGGTCCTCTATAATCCGCATTATGGAATAGTACTGCGTCAGCGTTGTCGAACTCGGATTCGTGTTGTGTGATGCGGCAATAGTTCTGGAGAGAAAAGATTGTAAAAACAACAAGAAAGATATTTGACGAAGGGTGGAGTCGAACCCTGGTCGTCGGCTTGGTGAACAAAAGTGCTAGCCACGGATCCCATTAACCCAAAATTTCGGTAAGGTACCTGCACATCAGGACATGTGGCCAAAAATCGTTCAGTCGTGATTGGATGGCCAAAAAAGTTTGTCGCTGCATAAATGACCACATTTTTTGTCGCATGTACTGCTTTTTCGGAATCAACTACTGCTTTTTCGGAATCTGATTTAGGCTTGACATCTTTGGAATTCAGGGATATGGGTTCTGAAAATTTAGAAACTTTATTTTTTTTTGGAATTCGCGACATCTGAATTTTTTCCAAAATTTTCAAATTCTTCGAAGTATATATTCTTCTTTAAACCTTCAGAAATGCTAAAAATGTTTGAAATTCTGCAATTCTAATTTTTTCTGAATTTTTTGTTAGAACAAAATTTCCGATATTTTTTGATTGTTTTACAAAATTCAAAGTTTTCTGACAATTCGAATTTTTGGATTTCTATGAAATTCTGGTTTTTTTCCAAATTTTGAATACATTTTGATTTTTTTTTGAATTGTCAGAATTGTAAAAAGTATTCAAAATTGAAAATTTAATTTCTAGGAAATTCGGAATAATTGAATTTCTGAATTTCTGAATTTCTGAATTTCTGAATTTCTGAATTGCTGAATTTCTGAATTTCTGAATTTCTGAATTTCTGAATTTCTGAATTTTTTGTGTGTTCGTTCATTCAAAATTCCTTAAATTTTTAAATTTTATCGGAAGATTTCAATTTTTTTCAAGCACATTTTTTGTAAATTTCAAAATAGTTCCTTTAAGAAATTAATACTTACCCTGTTCTTTGTGCCCCATACTCCTTGTGGGTACCAGTGTGTACCATAGGAAAACCGCAACAGCTATATAGAGACCAACTGTCAGAAATCGTCCCAGGTATCTCCATGTACACGTGGCACCGCCCGTTTTTTGGCTCATCAGGGCTCGTCTGGGATTTTTCATCAGTAGAGGAGGTTTATGAATATACATAGTTTGAAGAGGAATTTCGAAGTTTTTTGGGAGGTTTTTGAAGAAAAAGTAGTGAGATTAAAAGTCTAAAAATCTAAATTGGCAGCTTTGAAAAAGGGATTTGAGCGCTTAAAAGTCCAAATTTTTGTCTTTTTTTTTTGACACCGGATATATAAGAATTTCGGGAGCGAGACTAAAGGGACAATAGAGAGCAGAGAGATTTAGAGAAATAGAGAAGTCTCTATGGAGATATGAAACGAAGAAGTATACAAAAAAAGAAAGAAAAAGAGAAAAGTTTATTTTTTATGGAAAACGGAAAAATACAATTTTTGATGTTGGCGGTTTTTCTTGAGGTGGAGAAACAAAAAACAAAACAAAAAAGGAAATGAACATTTTGCTTGTTTGGTTTCTCTAGACTATTTTAGGATTTCTTTTGAGATGCAAGTGAATTTTAAAAGTTTGACCAAATTGGATTTTAGAAAGTTTGTTAGGAAAATTTAGAAAAGTTGATAGTCCAAATCTCGAAATTTAGAAAATATTAAATTTTGTAAAATGGTCAGAACCATGATATCGCCCTAAGCTTATAAAAACCATTAAAAAAACCCATGTGTATGTGTTGATGGTTATGTGCTATTATTTGGAAATAGTGTTACTATTCGGTTCTCCACTTTAATTGAATGTGTAGTTATTCGTGTATCTGTGTTTTGTGTGATTGTATTGTATTCCTTTTCTCTTTTTTCTCTTTTTCCACGACGGAAGGTCGTAATCAATAAATAAATAAATTAAAAACAAAAAACGAAAAAAAATTCCACAAGTGGGGGTTCGAACCCGGAACAACAGATTTCCAGCCAAGAGCGCACACCACTCGGCCACCGGACCACATCTCTCTATTGGCTTATATCTCAAGAAAGGGTTGAGCAACTCAAAAGTTGCCAACTACAAAAATGTAAAATTAAATTTTACATATTTTGTCAGTTTACAATTTTTTGATAGCTGTTATAGTTCTTGATATATGGTTATTGGAAGTTAAGGGAGAGCAGAGCTGGATTGTCCTTGTCAGCACTTTGGTTTAAAAGGTAAATTGAGATTTAAGTCGTTTACATAAAGCTCTTCTAATTTCAAAACTCTATATCTCAAGAATGGTAAAAGCTATTAAAAAACAAAAAAACTGTGAAAATGTGTAAAATTGAATTTTGCACATTATTCCCAAAATTTGGTTCATGAATGCCAAAAACGTCGAATGACCTGGTTCTTCATTCTTACTTCTTACAATCTTTTTTTTTCGTGTCAAGTCCAAAAAGAAATTAATTACAAAGGGATTAATAGGAAAGGATAATCTGTTTTGGTGGACAAAATGACGCCACGGCCCACAGATTTGTATGTATTTGGAGAACAAAACCTGAGGGAGGGGCAGGGAGAGGGAGAGAGATAGAAGGATTGGTATACATTGGGGACAGATGGATACACACACAAAATTAAAAATTATTACTCTTTTTGTATATGTATTTTTCAATTTTGGATTTATATTGGTTTGAACAGCAGAAACACCAAAAATTTGGAATTCTGAATATTTGAAACCTCCAAAACTTTTTAGAATAGTGGAAAAAGTTGAATAGCCGAAATATGGTGGGCCCAAGATATTAAGAAAAATTCAAAAGTTGGGAAACTAAAATTTTTCAAAAAAGAACATTCCAAAGCTCAAAAAGAAAGAAGGATTTCCCAGAAATTTGAGAAACATTTTTTACAATTTATGTAAAAATATACAGGTGGAAAAGTAGGTTTAGTGGGAAATGTACCCAATTTTTTTTGCGATTTCGAACTTTGTTTCGTTGAAAAAAAAAATTTAGAATATGAAAACAACTAGAAATGCAGTAGATCAGAAAGTGGTGTTTTCTAAAATAAATTCCGAAATTTCTGAAAATTTCTTCAACAATGCATTTGAAACTATAAAATGAACCAACTGTACGCTGCAAGAAAACATAAAAATACGAGTTTTTTGTTTACTTTTTCGCGAATTCATCGTTTAGAAATTTCGGTCTTCGGGTATTCTGAATATCTGAAAATTCCAAAACAATCTTTCAAAAGCTTGTTGGTTGGAGTGTTTGAACTTTATTTTTTGAATCGAAATTATGAAAATCTTCAAAAAAGGGGAAATATTTCCTAAAAATCTCAAAATGTGTACTGATTCTGTCTTTCAATGTTTGCCACCTCACTACCACTATCATAGTCATCAAATATTGGAAAAGAGGAAGAAGAACAGTTTCTTATCACTGGAAGAAATTCAATATTTGTGTTGTGCTAGATGACAAAAAACCACACCCAAAAATTAGAAAATTTTCTACTGCTTACCGATTCGAAAAACTATTTAAATTTGAATTCCACAAACATCGAAAGATCTCAAAATATCTGAATTTACGAAAAACTCAAATTCAAAAAAATAAATTGATTCGAAAATTAAAAAAGGAAATTCAGGAATGCCATGAAATTCAGAAATTCAGAAATTCAGAAATTCAGAAATTCAGAAATTCAGAAATTCAGAAAATTAGAAATTCAGAAATTCAGAAAAACAGAAGTTCTGAAATCCTGCAGTTCTGAATATCCGAAATTCTGAAAATCCAAAAATTTGACATTTCGAAAAATTCAAAAATCTAGAACCTCAGAATTATGAAGCAAAATGACAAAAAACCAAAAAGGAGAGGTTTGTATTTTGGGTTTCAAACTTTCGCTAAACTTGAAGAAGATTAATAGTCCAAAAGAACAAAAAACTTGTATGATCCATTTTTTTAAAGATCCACTTTTTGTTTGATTTTGATAACACTATGTACTTCAAAATATAATTTCAATCTGAAATTCTGAAATCTGAAAAGTTCAGGCAAAACCAAAAATTCTGAACCACTTTTTCAGAACTTCAAAAACTTGAATAACTTTTCTTTGGAATCGTCCGATTTTGAAAATCCATTAATTTTTGACACAAATCACAAAATCCAAAAATCTCCTGATTGGCCTCAGCGATTCTGGAAGAAAAATGGTGGCCTGGAAAAAGTTCGGTCATCAAAAATACCTGAATTCTTCTCTCCATTTATGGTATTTCATGTATTCCTTCTCATTGGATGTAAGATTTTTAATAAATTCCACAAATTCTTTTAGAGTTTTGAAATCGTCCACAGCAATGTACATATTATCGGGAATCTGAAAATTTTCAAAAAATTCATGAATTCAAGAATACTAAAATTTCAAAATTCGAAAATTTAGAAACTCTGAAAAATAAAAACTACCCCAAGATCTTTATAGATTTTCCGAGACATCAAATTGGGACCATTTTGTATTGCTCAGCTTTTCTCCAAAATTTTTCAGTCACATAATCCTTGCAATTACTATTTTCGAAAGCGATGACGAATTTGTAGGGTCTGGAAATTTTGAAATTAAAGAAAAATCAATTTTTCATCTATTATTTAATCAATTAATCAATCAATTTTTTCAGAAAAATTTCGAATGTTTCGATGTTTTAAAACTGGGAAAATTCAAAAAAAAGTTGCCAACTCACGACTGAAACCTCTCATCACACCCTTCCTGGGCTCCATCTCGCGGACAATTATCCGGTTCTCGATTATAAACTTTTCCGTACAAATCAACTTTCATACCATTCTCGATTAACTTTTCCACTAATTTCTTCCTTTTATTATTGACAATATTATTTGAAACCAGCCATAACGTTCCTTTCGTTTTCGATTTCCAGATTTCGGTATAGTTGACTTTTACTGAAATTCTTGACTTTTAATTTTGAGCTAGTTTACCTGGGTTTTTGTGAAAGATATCAAAAAGTGATCAACTGATAAAATGTTTTTGATATTATGATAAACATTTCGTTAGTTGACCACTTTTTGATATCTCTTTCAGGGCCTGAGATATAAGGGCTCAATGTTGATAGCGCCCTTCTATTGCAGGTTTTCCTTTATCTCGCTCTATTGGATTTCTGCAATAATGTTGTTAATTCCAAAAATTAAGCTCTATTTTTGTTTAGTATACTCTGTAAATTTCAGACAAAACGGAGAGTTCTGGAACACTTTTATGATTTACAAGGTAACCATTTTTCACTAATTTTACAAAAACTGGACCAACAAAGTCAAAAAATTGGAGTTCAAAAAAATTACCCAATTCTGAATTCCTCAGCAATCCACCGTACGGAGCGAACACGTCAGAATCAATTCGATAACTCATTGTCCAATTGAAAAAGTCTTTATAAGTTTCTAATTTTGCATTGTATGGACTTTCATAAGCCACCATAACATAAGGAATTTCCTGTCGGCGAGGGAATGGGAATGAGGAGATTTCCTGGAAAAATTTGAAGCTGAAAATGAAAATTCGCGATTGTCTAAGCCAAAATTTTTTTCTGAATTCTAAAACTTTAAAATTTCGACTTTTTCCTGATTTCCAAATATCCAGATGTCCGCTCACCTTTGAATTTATATTCCTCGAATGAAATAGAACTGCATTGGCTTGAGAGAAATGGGCTCGATGGCTACTGATAGAACAGGCATTCTCGAAATCCAACATTTTCAATTTTTGTCGAGATTTTTAGGGAATTTCGGAAATATTGAAAAAAAGTCTCACCCGAAGATTTAGATTACATTCTTGGAAATTGGAATTCGTGAATGGGGCACTAAAAAAGTTGGTTGCGGCAAAAATGACTATTTTTCCAGAAAGATCTGAAAGTTTTATTAGGTTTTGTGAATCTTTTTTTAGTGTAGAACTTTTTGGAATGTTTCGGAATTTTCAGAAGTTTTGAAGAGACGCAGACAGTAAGAGTGTCCAGTTGTCTGCGTATCTAACCTCCCGACCTTCAAAGCGCTATACCTCGACTTCTAGAGAAGCTAGAAGAATGAAATTTGGATAAAATCTCGGTGCTATTCGCTTTTTTTGAAAAATTATCTGATTTTGAAATGTTCGATTTTCCAAAAGTTTTTTACAAATGTTGGTTTCAAGACAGCACCAAAAATACTAATAATTACCTCCAAATCCTACCAAAAATCCTTCTTCTAGCTTCTCTAGAACCCTAGATACACCCATTTAAAGTTTCAAAGAGACGCAGACAGCTAGTGTGTATCGTTGCCTGCGTCTCTCGCCTTCAAAACTTCTAATTGCTATATCTCAGCTCATAGAAAACCTGCAAAGTAGATTTTTTCGAATTTATGGAGTGTAATTTTTTGCTGAATGTTTCAAATTTACCAATTTCTCTGTCTCTTTTCTGTACAGAATAAAAAGTAATTGTTACAAATACAATGAAGCAAATCCAATAAAAATTTCGCCGTATTTTTGGACCCATTTTCGGGGGAAAAGAATCGACGATTGGGGTGGAAAAAAGTGTATAAAATATTCAAAAAGTCGGCGAAAAAAGAAAAGAGGCCTCGTATTGGAAACCAATTTCCATGGTGACTATTGGATGGAATATATATCGGGAACTTTGAAATTTTCAAAGGTTTTTTGCGTTCTTAAAAAATTAAAATTAGAAAAAATATTTTTGGCTTCAGCAAAATATATCTGTTGAATTCTGAAGTTTTCCAATTTTTGATTATTTCGTAATCCATTTTGTTTATTTTTTTCAAATTTTTTGAATTCCAGTATTTAAGATTTCCAAAATTTTTTTTTAATCCACCAAAAAATGCTCACCCTCTTCCTTCTCATCTTGTAGGTCCCATATGGGTACCATACTAGCACAAACACCAAGTTTCTTAAATTGTCCCAAATATTTCCATGTGCATATGGCATCACCCGTTTTTCGGCTCATCATGGCTTGTCTAAAAACTTTTAAAAATTTAAAAATTCCGGAAATTTAAAAATTCCGGAATAAAGTAACAAAAAAATCATAAAAGCAAAACTGCAAAAATTGAAAAATTGAAAAAATCGGAAATTCAAAAATTCTCAAAATTCAGAACCTAATAAGTTTGAAAAATCATAGGTTAAAAAATTTGAAACTCTGAAATTCCAACACTCAAAAATTCAAAAATTTCGAAAGTTAAAAAAATCGAAAATTCAAAAAATCGAAAATTCAAAAATTCAAAAATTCAAAATATTCGAAAATTTAGTTTGGTTTTATACTTATTCAGTCTCTATGTTTGTCACTACACTATCACTCTCCCGGAGCACTATCATCAAATATCAAAAAAGAAGAAAAACGTAGAAGAAATTTTCTTATCTTATCATTCACTATCAGAGGAAATTCAATATGTATATGCAAGTGCTAGTGGTGAATCATTGGTACCATGGATACCATGAATACCATAGATACGTTCGTAAAAAAGGATGAATAGCTAAGGCATGACTACCCGTTACTCACCCTAGAAAACCTAGAAACCTAGAAAGTCCACTTCTCAATACGTGTCACCGCCTGTATGCGAGATGACGCGTGCGCGTGTAGGTCACGGAGACAATTCACGTATTGAATTTTTAAATGGTAATACGGAAGAAAACCAGTATATACCATAGATACCATCGATACCATAGATACCATGAATACCATAAATACCATAGATACCATAGATACCATATATACCATAGATACCATATATACCATAGATTCCATAGATACCATCGATACCATAGATACCATGAATACCATAAATACCATAAATACCATAGATACCATAGATACCATAGATACCATAGATACCGTAGATACCATAGATACCATAGATACCATATATACCATAGATACCATAGATACCATATATACCATAGATACCATAGATACCATAGATACCATAGATACCATAGATACCATAGATACCATAGATACCATAGATACCATAGATACCATAGATACCATAGATACCATAGATACCATAGATACCATAGATACCATAGATACCATAGATACCATAGATACCATAGATACCATAGATACCATAGATACCATAGATACCATATATACCATAGATACCATAGGTACCATCGATACCATAGATACCATGAACACCATAAATACCATGGATACCATAGATACCATAGACACCATAGATACAATTGATGCTACTGATACCATGATCGCCTTTAAAATTCATAGGTAACATAAAATATCAAAATATCGAAACATTTATTAGAAAAATTGTTAGTTTCCAGAAAATTCGATCTTCTACTCATCCTCGTCTCCTCCACCACCGCTGACCTTCTTCTCCGATTTCTCCGATTCGCTATCGCCGAATTCTTTCGATTTTCCGATCCAATCCAATTTTTTGTTGAGCTTCGCGCCAACGTCACTGGCGCACGTCTTCAAAAAATTCAGAATATAATCGTAGTCGGGCGTCGTCTCGTATTGCATTTTGTCGACGTAGGCGACGAGTGGAGTCAGTGCGATCAGACAGTTTTTCTTTCCGATTTCTTTTTGAATTGGTTCGTCTGCAAAACATGTACGTTTTATGGTACTATTGGAATGATATGTATCCATTTGGGTTTGGATGTTACATATGGTGCTTATGGACCCCTTGGTTCTCACGTATGGTATTTATGGTATCTATAGTATCTATGGTATCTATGGTATCTATAGTATCTATGGCATCTATAGGTGCCATGGCACATATATATGGTATCTATGAGTCCCATCTGTAGTATGTATATCGAAATTGTCGGCATTCTTCCTATCTTCTCTATTTATGGTGCTATGAGTTTCAATGGTATCTATCGACCCCATGGTGCATCCCTATGATATATATGGTATCTATGGTATCTATGGTATCTATGGCACCCCATGAACTCACAATTACTAAAAAACTCCTTCTTCAATTTTAGAATCTCCTTCGGATCCGCCACCTTTCTCCACGTCATTCCACTCTCATTTATCAAGTCCACCGCCATATAAATCCACGTCTCCAAGTCATCCTTTCTTCCCTGCTCTTGTTGCTGCATACACGCTCTACTGGCAAATCTCAGCGTTCCCAAAAACTTGACCTTCTTTCTCTTCACCTTGTGCTCGCCCTTCTCGTCCACATACAGCTTAGCAATCCCGAAATCCAACATGTATACTGTATTTTGTTGGTCACCAATCCCAATCGCATAGTTTGCCGGTTTGATGTCCCGATGGAGGTATCCGATGGAATGTAGGTCACGAAGAGCGGTCACTGTTTGGATGCAACAGTAGAAGGCTGTGTGTTTGGTGAATCCGCAGCAGATATATTTTCGGCGGATGTCTTCGAGAGAGGGACCGACGAGGCCCATGACCACGAACTGAAAAATGGGTTATTTGATGTGTACCATATGGTGTAGGGACCATGGAGCTCAGATCTAGAGATCGTAGGTACCATGGCTAAGAACCATAGACACCATAAATAGGGACCGTAGATACCATAAATACCATGGGCACCATAGATACCAAAAATAAAATGCGTATCATAAATGCCATGAATACCATGAATGCCATGAGTATCATAGATACCATGAATACCATGGCTACTATAGATTTCGTAGGTACCATAAGTTGTATTGTTATCATAGATGACATACGTAGGCACCATACTAGCGGTGAAAGTGGATTTCATGGTTCCACCGGTTCAATCGCTACCTATGATAGTCATGGTGATTTCTGGCACGCACTAGAATCACACCTGATCTCTATTGCTGGTAACCATGGGTTGTATCCATGATACCAAAAACCTAGGATCCATGGTGCTCATGGTACCCATGGTAATGATGGTATCTTTGCTTTTCAGCTATAGCGCCTATGGAATCTTAGCTCTACAGGTACCATAAAATTATGACATATATGGCACCTTAGACCATAAGAACCATATTTACCATGAGTACCATGAGTACCATGAGTTCCACAGAAACTATATGGGGTACACTTCATATGGTACCCTTCCCAGTACTACAAAACCATCTTACCTTGCACTTCAACTCCTCACACTTTCCCTTATCCACGAATTCAATAAAATTCTTGAACAACCCCGCCTTCTTCTTCTCAGCCGTCTTCATCATCACCTGCACCTCGATTTTCAGACGCAAATATCGTTTTTCACCCTCCTCACTTTCCGTTTTCAGCGCGTAGCATTTGGTGGGCGGTTCGTTGGCTCGATGCACTTTGTAGACGTCTCCAAAGCCTCCAGAACCCAAAAGATTGATCACTTTCCAACTGAAAATCAATGGTGGTCAAATTTTCCAAATTTCTAGGTCATGGTCACTCACGCTGCAATCGCACCAACTCCCAAAATCATGTCTCCGGAATTCAACTTTTTTCTCTTCGGCTTCTTATTCTTTCCGCCATCCTTGACCATCAAATCACGCTCTCCAGTCACCTTACAATCAAAACTTCGGTCCTGAAAAATCAAAAAATATTTTTTTGCAATTCTACCGTAATCCTCCTACCGTATCCCCAACGTTATCCTCCAGTGGCGGTCTGCCGACCCAGTCACACGTTTTTCGGTTCAGATTCTGAGCAAATTGAATGTTTTCCAGGCAATTTTTGAATTGCTCATATTCTGGAACGCTTTCGAAAGCCATGGTGCTAATGTTGGTGAGAAGCGGTTGTAGAAGACGTGGCGCACGAGTAAATTGCTCTTTTCCTTCTGGAAAAAATCATAGATACCATAGATACCACTGATACCATAGGTACAATAAATACCATTGATAACATAGATACCATAGGTACCATAGGTACCATAGATACCATAGATACCATATATACCATAGATACCATAGATATCATAGATACCATAGATACCATAGATACCATAGATACCATATATACCATAGATACCATAGATACCATAGGTACCGTGGACACCATGGATACCATAGATACCATAGGTACCATAGGTACCATAGATACCATAGATACCATATATACCATAGATACCATAGATATCATAGATACCATAGATACCATAGATACCATAGATACCATATATACCATAGATACCATAGATACCATAGGTACCGTGGACACCATGGATACCATAGATACCATAGATACCATAGCTACCATTGATACCATAGATACCATAGGTACCATAGATACCATAGATACCATAGATACCATAGATACCATAGATACCATAGGGGGGCAGGTTCATAACTTTATTCAGGATTGATATGGCGACTATTGTACCTATGGTTTTCCATGGTATTCGTGGTATTCATGGTATTTATGGTATCCATGGGGTCCACGGTACCTATGGTATCTATGGCATGTATAGTACCTATGGTAATTATGGTGTTCATGGTATCTATGATATCCATGGTATCTATAGACTACCTACTGGGCCACACGGTCACAAAAAACTAACCTCCAATCATAAACGACTCCTTCATCCCCAACACCACAGCCTGATTATTCTCCTTCTTCCATGCCAAGGATCCATTATCCATCAAATAGAAAATCGTGTATAGCCAACTCTCCAAATCATCCTTCCTGCTCTGATCCTTCTGCCCCTGACATCCTCTCGATGCATATCTCGTGGATCCGAACATCTTGACACTGGTCCTTGGGTACACATGTTTCTTGTTCTCTTCATACTTTCGAACCGCTCGAAAATCTTGAAGATACACTGAACCTTCTGTTGGTCCCAATCCAACATTGAAGGCCGATGGGCGAATGTTCCGATGGATGTATCCGAATGAGTGAAGATCTCGAATAGCCTTGAGCATTTGGTGAGCAACGTAAAATGCGCAATCCATAGAAAGCGGACCGTTGGTGACTTTTTTCATGACCTCGTGGAGAGTGGCACCATATGGGGAGACGATGAGGAACTCAATTTTGTCCTTGGCAATACTTCCGAACTCTGCCATGGATACGAAGCACTTGTCGCCAGGGATTTTCTCGAGCTTTCTGAGAAGCGCCGCTTCGATCTGAAATGTCAGATAGTCGTCATGGATTTATCTTATGGGTACCATATCTGTACCATTACTGCTCTATACCATTCGAAAGAGCTTGAAAATTCCTTTGGGACCATGTAATTTTCATTCATTTCGGTTGACATTAAAGTTAGCTATGCGCCTTTAAAGCTGGTGAAGAGACGCAGACAACGAGACACTCTCGTATCTCTGTGTCTCTCACTCAAAACTTCAAACCGCTGTATCTCGGTTAAACGTCAACCGATTTTTATGATTTTTACAGCATTAGAATGTTGAGAATCTGAGTAATAAGACAATTAAAAAACCTGCCCACCTTCAAAAGATCCAAGCCCTGTCTGGCCACCTTCATCCGATAGTCTTCGTTCTGTTCCGTCTCCTTCACTGCATACAAATCGATATCCAGCTGTTTCGTCGATCTTCGAATCTGATTTGACACTTTATACTGATTAACACCCTCGACCATTTCCCCGCTTGCGAAACATTTCATCGCGGTGTTTTTGGATTTTCGACGAGTTGTCTCTTTTTTGTTCTTGGTTTTTCCACTGAGACATGTCGATTTTTTGTCGGTGAGCTTCGTTTTAGACTTCATCGAGCTCATGTCTCCGCTGCCCGTGGACTGTAAAACTTTTTTTTTCGAAATTTCAAAATCTTTCGTTTTTTTGATTCTTCAAATTCTCTAATATCGGAAAATTTGGATTGATCCAATTTTTCAATTTTTTGAATTTTCGAGATTTTTTGGATTATACTTTTAAAACTGTTTCGACTAGCGTCCTCGGCCTACGGCCGACTCCGCTAGGCAATTAACAAATAGCAAAATTAGCAAAGTTATAATTTTTTCAAATTTTCAAATTTCTGAATTTCTGAATTTCTGAATTTCTGAATTTTTGAATTGCTGAATTTCAGAATTTCTGAATTTCTGAATTTCTGAATTTCTGAATTTCTGAATTTCTGAATTTCTGAATTTCTGAATTTCTGAATTTCTGAATTTCTGAATTTCTGAATTTCTGAATTTCTGAATTTCTGAATTTCTGAATTTCTGAACTTCTGAAATTCTGAAAGCTCAGAACGTGTGTCAAAATTGTGTCAATTGATAAAATGTTTAACTTGTTATCACCAAAATTTTTCTAGTTTATATAATTCTGATATCTCTCAAAGGAGCAGAGATAAGCTCAAAGTGCAGGGATGGGACTGGCATTGGATATACTGCACATTATAGCTCATAACTTTCTTCAATCTCAACATTTTTAAATGATCTAAATTACAAAATGCAGGTCTTAAAAAGTTCTATAAATTGATATAAAATCCATAAACACTTAAATTCTAATTTTGTAAACAAAACGCTACAAAACCCACCGTCGGCTTTTTGCCTCTGAACGACGCAAAGATCCCGGGCGTTTTTGCATTCGGCGTTTTAATGTTTTTCTTGGTTAGATCTGCTGATACTGGCGCCTTCTTTCCTGTCTCTCGAGTTATACCCATTATTGAAGTGCAATTCTGCCCAAAACTCTCTTTCAGATGGAAACGTGTTGGCAACAAATTAATGTGAAATGAATTCGTTTGGAAGTTCTTTTTTATGAATAAAGAGAAGGGACTGCTGGTGGGAGCAAGATGACAAGATAAGGAGTTGGGTTTCTTTTTCTAGGTGTTCTGTTTTAAAATGTTTTATATTTCATGTTAACACGTTTTGCTGGCGTTTTTGAGACATCCTCTGAAACTGATAGTGAACCGGCTGTAATTGATATCCCAAAAAATGTTACATCATTTAAAATTGAGCAAGATCTGGCTCTGTGATTAATGGGGGTTTTGGGGACAGGAAGAACTTTTCGATCTTTTTATCATTTACCGAAAGTTTACCCCTTTCCGACTCAGAAGCCAGGACTCTCCGAAACGCAACTACCTCGTGGAAAGCATTGTCCAGAAATTTGGTGACTATCCGAAATGAAGACGTACGTTAATTATTTGAGTTTTAGATTTTTCCCATCCAAACAGTCAACTTTTAGCTTTATTATCTTGGTTCCTTTAAACGATATCAAAAATTAGTCAACTGATAAAATATTGGTGATATTATGATAAATAATTTATTCGTTGACAAGCTGCTACTGAAAAAATATTCATTATACTATGTGTCGCGACCGCGTCGATTAATCAGAAAGGGCACGGCACTTGTGTTAGTTTCGAGTTCAACTCCTCCTGGGACTACTGTCAACAGTATTCCGAAAAATACATTTTTACGTTCCGCGTAGCGCAATGGGTAGCGGCTAGCTACACCTAACACTTTGAGTACAGGCTTAACTCCCCTAACAAAAAACTAACTTGTAATCTTCTGTCGCTTTTGAACATAATATTGTTACTCAAAATAGTCTCAAATCAAAAGCTCAACTTGTAGTATTTCAGGATAATACTGCAGTATCCACAATCATTGAAAACTCTACCAAAAGCGCGTGGATCGGTCTCTATTGTTTCGAGAATGATCCAGAAAAGTGTTCATGGGATAGTGAAAATGGTAACGCTAAAGAATACAACAATTTTGCAGCAAGTGAGTTTGAAAAACAATCAAAATTAAGTAATACTATTTTTCTCAGATTTCCCATACATTGAAATGGACAAGTGTGTTTACTTCAAATCATCTGGAAAACTAGCTGGCAAATGGCTTAGCGGAGATTGTCAAGAAGATCAGCGATCATTCGTCTGTGAGATTCCAACCACCAGTTTCGAAGGTAATCTTCAGAATCATGATACAGAAAGTATGATAGATTTTCAGCTGATTGTGAACTGAACTTCAATGGGAACTGTTTTCAGTTTCATCAAAAACTATTATAAGAACCATCTGGAAGTGGACTCTTTCTTTATTGGAGCTCGTGCTTGGCCTGGACATTATTACCAATGGGTGGATGATTCGAAATTTGATTATTTCAATTTTGACGTTAAAGCGGAAAATTGTCTGACCATGAGTCTCAAAACCACAGTGACCAAAACATCAGGCTTTTGGTATGGCACCGATTGTCTTGCAACGGAACATTTCTTGTGCAAAAGGTGGATTGGGAAGGATTGTGAATCATCTCCATCAACCGTCGCCCCATTGGAATCAAAGGAATATTACTCGTTTTTCATGAAGTCTGGAACATTCTCATCGCCTAATTACCCCAAAAATTATACTGCTAATTCTACCAGTGTTTACAGTTTAGCGACACTTGGCTCTCAAAAAATTCGCCTGACTTTTAATGAAATTCTAACTGAACCTGATTACGATCAGATTCTCATTTATGATGGAGATTCTGTTGAGAGTCCATTGATCGGAAACTTCAGCGGAGTTCATTTCAAAAAGCAAATAGAGTCATCTACTAATAATTTGTATATTACTTTCATAACTGATTCAACAGTGAATTCATTCGGTTTCACTGCCAGTTTCCAATCAATTATTTAAATTTTTACTTTCATTTCAACAATAAATGTTTCTGTTTTTTCTCTTTGTCATGTCACAGATCTGCTATTCCGTATAAGCAACCTTCCCATTGCTCACTTTGGCACAATTCATATCGGTTAAAAGGTGTCGAAAATTGTTCAACTAATAAAATAAATCACGCATCAAATTCTTCACTACCACTCGAGTCAAGAAAATGTTACATCAGTTAAGAAGAAGTAAGACGTTGGCGCCATGATTAATGTGTTTGGGCACAGCAAGAACTTTTCAAATCTTTTTATCTTTTAGCGAAAGCTTTGCCCTTTTCGACCCAAATGCCAGAGTTCTTGAGCCAGTGTTGAGCAATAAAATCTTCAATAGTTTTTCTATTTTGTCTACCTCTGCTATTCTCTGAATTAAACGTCATAACAATGGGTTTACACTGATCAGCTGATCATCTGGGACATTCTTTTTGCCAAATTACCCTGAAAATCAGTGCCAACGCTATCAGTGTTTACAGTTTGCTCTCAAAGAATTCCTTTGACTTTTGGTAAAATTCTAACCGTGACTGGTTAAGATCATATTCTCGTTTACGAAAGAGATTCGAGTTGGATCCCAGTAATCGGAAACTTTAGCGGATATCATCGCGAAAAGAAAATCGAGTCATCTACTAGCAATTTGTATGTTATCTTCAAAACTGAATCAAATATGCACTTACAATCTGGCGGTTCAGTTTGCGAACAATTTTTCGAAAAATCAATTTATTAAAAAATAAATATTTCTCCATCTTGTGTCTTTGTCAAATGACAAATACAGTAACAAGTGAAGCGGGGTGGACCAATGGCGAGCAACCGGCGGATGAAGGTTGAAAAAATGAGGGGGTTCATCCGATACGAGCACTTTGAGCTTATATTTCTCGATTCCTGTGAAATATATCGAAAAGTGGTCAACGGACAAAATGTTTATCATAATATTGATAACATTTTGTTAGTTGACTACTGTTTGATATCTTTCACAGTAACCGAGATATATGGGCTGCAAATTGACGGTTTATGTGGTCTTTCATTCAAGTGTTTACGGTATATTTTTTTAAAGGAGGCGAGACAGCAAACATTTCGGGGGCAGTTGGGGGGATCGCGCCGCGCTTATGTAGACCATCGGTCGTCAGGCGCCTTCGCGCCTCCGTAGCTCAGCCGGTAGCAGCGCTGTACCCCTGAGCGGCCTGTCATGAGTTCAACCCCTCATGGGGGTTCTCTATGCAAATTAACAGGAAAACTTTTTTTTGGTGTCTGGCCTCCTTTAATGTATATATTCTCGTGTGTAAGGTTCACCTGTGGTATAGGCCTTACACTGCCCACTTTGGCCCAATTTATTTCGTTTTCCTTGAAAAATGGTCCCCTATAAGTTATATCTGACGTTATAGGAAACATTTCACTAGTTGACCGCTTTCTAATACTTTCACAGGAACAAAGATAAATTAAGACAAAAAACTTGTCAAAAATTGAGACTCATTTCGAAAAAAAAACGTTTCCTGTGTACTATATTGCAAAAGTATGATTTCATCAGTCACATAATTTCCAGCGCAATTTTTGGAAGGATGTTTGCCAACCTCCTAACTGATAAAACTTTAATATGTTTCATCGTTTTGTTTAAGATAAGACCTCCTCACTTTTGTGAAAATGCAACACCTCGTGCTCCTTTTTGCAATTTTTGCTGGAATTTTTTGTTCGAGTAGCCCAATTTGCATTAGTCCCAACGACATATTGGTCAATAATAAATGCTGGAGTGTTCACACGACATCATCGAGCCACAAGGATGCAGTTACGACTTGTGCGCAAAACTTCGGAACATTGGTGACTGTAAAAAATGCAGCTGTAAGTTTTAAAGAGCATAATTTGTTTCAAGCTAAATAATTTTTGACAAAATAAAATGAATATGATAGAACTTGAAAAGTGCTAAAAGGTAATATAATTTGATAAGCTGTATCTTATATGTGAAGAAAGTTACAGGTCATAAAGCTGCTTGACCCTAGATTGTTTGGTCCGACCAGTAACTTACCTCAAAGACAAGATACATCTTTTTAAAGGAGGAAAGAAAGGAGATTTTTCGGAGTTACGGTATGCATTCTGATTTGACGGTGTGCAATGTTTAGCTTTCACACAGCGCGTTGCCTTCGTTCGGCGATCTCAGCTTGCGGCACCTCCAGCGTTGGGCCCACAAGTTCAACTTCTTGAGGGGCTTATATGAACGGAATTTTGAAAATGTTTTTTTCAGGATAATCAAGCCATTATGAGATTGCTTGGATCTACCATCAGGCACCTTTGGCTGGGACTCTACTGTTTCCAAAGTGATATATCCCAATGTCAATGGGATGACGCTTCAGGTTCCGCGAGCGATTACAATAACTTTGCACCGAGTTTGCAGTTTTCAAAACTCTTATGTTATATATAGACACGGTTTAGGTTTCCCGTACACTGATGTCGGCCGTTGTGTGTATTACGCTACCGATGGAGCGTTAGCGGGACAATGGATTAGTGACGATTGTGATGATGATATGAGATCGTTCATTTGTGAAACTCCAACCACGATCCAAGGTACGATAGAACATACCGTAAAACCTGTATTGGAAGGGCCTCTCTATTAGAAGGGACTTTCGAGAAGGGCTTGGGAAAATAGAAGGACCCCTTCAAAATGTGTCGTGAAATTTGAAAAAAATCCGAAAGTTTACAGTGAAAAAAGTTTCGGGAAATCCTCCATTACATAGGAATTTGTTGAAAAACTATTTTTGATGAAAACCATGCTCAAGTTTGTTGAAAAGTTTGGTGAAATTGGCAGATCTTTATGAAGAACGAACGAACTTGAACGAAAATTCGTCGAATTAGAAGAGCCCTCCAGCGGTATCTTGGAAAAATAGAAAGACCGGCCTTTCTAATACTGGTCTTACGGTAGTAGGTACTTGGTGACGGGACCATACTCTATATTTCAGATTCGTGCGACCACAATTTCAATGGATATTGCTACTACCTATCCACATCCTTAAACTACGGTGTGGATTACAACTTTGAACAAGCCCAGGAAACTTGTGAGAGCATAAGTGGAAATCTAGTTTCGATCCACTCCCCAAATGAACTCAGATATGTTAAGAGCCTTTATCGAACCAAAAACACCCCGAGTATTTATATTGGTGCTCTTACCGTATCCGGAAAATATCACAGTTGGACTGATGGCTCTTCCTGGACCTTTGACAATTTTGACACCACTAGCCAACAGTCTGGAAACTGTATGATGATGTCTCTGCAGAGCAGTGGAAGTTTAACTCAAGATGCTTGGTACCCAAGTGACTGTCAGGTTACTAGAAGTTTCGTTTGTAAGAGGCAAGCTGGACTTCCGTGGAGTGGACCCACAACTCCCCCGACAACTGTTACACCAAGTCCTTCAAACCCTTCATACTGTAACTCTTTGCTAGTGGCACCATCTCAAGTCACGTCTCCTGGATACCCTGGAAACTACACCAACAATTTGAACTGCGCCTTCCAATTGGCAACACTTGGGTCATATCGAATTCGTCTAACATTCAATTCGTTCAACACTGAAAGTTGTTGTGATAAAGTGACCGTGTATGATGGTGATGATTCCCAGGGTTCGCTTTTGGGTAGATACGGTGGACAACTAGGGGTTCCATTTTCTCTAGAATCGACGGGAAACACGATGTTGGTCACTTTCACAACGGATGGAAGCGTCGTGGAACCTGGATTTAGTGCTAATTTTTTGTCACTGATTTGATTTTGATTGAATGATAACAATGAAGGTTTTATGCAATCTGCTTTTTGACTCAAAAAATGGTTTTTTAAGTTTGGGAACCCCAGGAGGACTTCAACTTGTGAGCCAAATATTGGAGACGCCACGTCACTTGTTCTTGGAGCTTTTTTTATCTCTGTTCCTTTAAGAGATATCAACATTTTGTCAACTGATAAAATGTCTATCATAATATCAGTAACATTTGTCAATTGGCCATTTTTTGATAGCTGCCACAGAAACCGAGGTAATTTGGCTCAAAGTTTGAGCTAAGCTCAGTTGGTAGCTGATTTTCAATAGCAATTTTTCTCGATACTTTTTGACTCTTTGATTCTTGATTGTTCGGTAAACTTGTCGGGAAAAATTGGCATTTCTAATATAAGATTTTCCAATTCAAAATGATTGGGAAATCTTATCAAAACTGATATTGTGTTGATTAAAGGTTCAGCGGAGGTAAACTCATGAACAAAGTGCTAGGAGCCCGCTAAGCTGCGAAGTCAAAAATTTTAATGGTTACATGTCTGTTTGAGCTTATGTCTATTTGAGCTTACGATTAACCCTAAACACCCATTATAATGCTTCCTGCCCAACCATTTTTTCGAATCCATATATCTCATTTCTTGTAAAAGATATCAAAAAACAATCAACAAACAAAATGTTTATCACAATATCATCAACATTTTATCCGTTTACAACTTTTTGATATCTATTATAGGAACCAAGATATATCGGCTCAAAGTTGAACACTCTAAGTTAGGGTTCATACTATCACGATGACCTCGAACTGTTTTGAAACTTAAGAGAATCCCGAAACAATTTAAATTCACTTTTTTCCAAAACTTTATTATTGAGTCTCTTTTCGCCGATAAGGTGTGGTGGCTGACACCTCCTCCATCAAATCTTTATGACCCTTTTTATCGGCATGTGCCTCATTGACAAGAACCATGAACCTTCAAAAGCGGTAACTTTGAGAGAAGCATCTGATAGGATCATAAACCTGTCGGAAATCTTACAAGGATCAAATTTTCGGCATATCAAATTTCGAACAAAAACTTCTACTCTTCCAAAACGATCGTAAATTTAGGATCGTAAACCTATCGAATATCAAGTTGTGAACAAAACCTTCTGATCTTCCAAAGCGATAATAAGGATCGTAAATCTATATCAAATTTCCACCTCCTCATAAATCCAAATCCAAAAGGAATCCGCTAAGAGAGAAAATAATTGACAGCTGCAGCTCAAAAACAGTCATTTTTAATGATGCCGATTGTCTAATTGCCGATTGTCCTTGAATGATTCTCAGTAGGTAGCAAACCCTCTTTGAAACCCCCATATGATTCAAATGACCCCTCTGGGAAGGTACTAGCCTCTTGGTTTCGAAAAATGAGAGCCACTTTTCCCCATAATTATCCCCGTCTCTATCAGAACACCTTCATTCTGCGGGACGCGTCTCTCTTGGATTCTAATCCGCTCATTATATTCTTGGTGGTCCACCACACACCATCCATCATCCATCTTGTTCAGGCTATCTCACAAGACAGATGTGTAGTCTGGGATTTATGTTTACCTTGATCTGTGGGGTAGACAGAAAGTTCTGAAGGTATTCTTTGTAACATAAAGATCCGTCTGACTGGTGAAAATCGATGGCAGCCGACTTCTCGGCCGCGTAGCTCAGCCTGTAACGGCGGGACATCTCTAGTTTATTGGCAGCAAATTAATCCCTTTGAGTAGCTAATATTTTACGACTTACGGAAAAAAGCGATCAATTTTGAATACACCACTGCAGGACTAAAAGTATCTCCAAATGTCTTCGTCGGGACAAAATAGCCAGATTTGAAGCACTACAAAAGTAGTCAAACATTTTTCGATTTGTCTAAAAATTCTAGAATGTATTGAACAAATTAATAGCTTTATTTTTGTAGTTGACAACTTTTTTCTAGCTACCGTAGTTTTTGAGATATGCGCCTTTAAACATAGCGCGCCTGACAAACGCTTTCAAAACATTCAATTTTGAAGCACTACGAAAGTAGTTAAACATTTTCCGATTTGTCTGAAAATTGTCGAGTATACAAAACAAAAATAGAGCTTAATTTTTGTAGTTGACAACTTTCTTCTAGCTACTGTAGTTATGAAGATGTGCGCCTTTAAACAGAGCGTGACCCCTCCCTCCTTTCTCTTCTCGACGAAAATCGTCCGCCGAGAAGATTGTCATGTCAGACTATGTTTGAACGCGTATATCTCGAAAACTACAGTAGCTAGAAAAAAGTTGTCAACTACAAAATTAAAGCTAGAGCGTTTTCATCTGTCTCTTTTTCTGCGAAATTAGATGTTTTTCCCTGTTTTTTCCTCGAAAAACCTAGATTTTTCATTCTAAAAGTTAGATTTGAAAAAAAAATTTTCAGAAGTAGATCAAAAAACAATTTTTTCGACCTAGACATTTTTTGTTGCGCCAAAACTTTTCCTTTTCCGTTCAGTTTTCTTTTTTCTCTTTTTTCGTTTTGCTTTTCCTTTCACCTTTTTCTTGCCCTTTTTTATGTTTCGTCCTTCAAACACTTGGCGCTGCGCTAACACACCACTTGGCACCGCGCCAAGTTTCCGTTTTTCCGACTAGTTCAGCTTTTTGTGTATTTTCAGCCTTAAAAAAGCATAATTTTTGATTTTCAGCCATAGTAATCTTCTTTATCCATAAGTCTAGCGTTTTTTAGTCTTTTTCGCCCAGAAACTTTGTGGCGTCGTTTCCTTGGCACCCTGCCAAATTCACTTTTTTTCGATTTTCCGGAACGGACCTCGATGCGACCATAGTAACAACGTTTTCGTGACAAATTCTAATTTTTCCGATTTCCTGGCAGCCTGCCAAATTGGTCTTCTAGCAAATTTCGTTTCCTTGGCACCCTGCCAAGTCGCGCTCATTAAATTTTCCTTCTTTTAGACGTTTCCCCCTGCTCATAGATTAACACTCTCCCTCTCTCTATCCATATCTATCCCACCCCATCTGCTCAGCCCCTCTCAAGCTCCGCCCCCTTTTCCCCTCTCTTACTAGTTTCCTGTCATTCTCATTCGTATGTTCCATTTCTTCGTCCTCATGCACTCTCTTGAACGCCCTTCTTCTCTCCTTGCCTCTCCTGCGCCTCTCTGGTTGTGTTTCGAAAAAACCGCGACGCACGCACGCAACGCAGCGGTTTTTGCTGCTATCTAGGCCACCACCGCCACCTCTCCTATAGTTGTCATTTTGTTTATTTGTGTGCATAGCCTCTGCGCGTGCCCGCGTTTTTGAACGTTCTTTTCTCCTTTTTTGACCTAAAAAGTAGTTTAAAATGCTATAAATTTAAATCTCTCATTTTTCAGAATGAGCGGTGAAACTGGATCCAACGAGGCTCTCGCGCCACCAGAGGAGATCGAAGCCCAGGAGCACGATGAGCCCGACAACGGAGTTGATGCCACGGCTGAAGGTTAGTTTGAGCAAGAGGGAAATTTGAAAACGTCTAGTTTGTAGTCAATTTTAGGAATCCAATTTTATACTAGAACTTGTTTTTTTTCAAATTTGATTCCTAATTATTGATCCCAGTACACACAAAAATCAATTTTAAGCTGATCTTTCCCATAGGTGCTTATCTTTTCCCTCTCCGATCTCTCTCCAAGTTCGATTTGCGCGCCAAAAATATTCTCTGTGCACTTACGCGTCGCGGTGGTTGCGGAAAAGAACTGAATTGGGTTTAGGAGGCATGGATAGGATGCGCATAACGTATTTGGATTTTCTGGTACTATTGTTTGTGGACCGCCATGGGGACCTTTAATAGTAGAGTAGATCAGGAAGGTGGGTCTAGTTTTGGGTTCCAGGGGCATTCAGGTCATTGAGATTGATTTCGGAATAACCGCGGTCCTGTATTTGCTATCTAGAAGTTGAAATCTTAATTAGGTGTTTGTTTGGATTAGGTTTTCTAGGCTAAAATCGAATCGAATATTGTGATTAGATCAAGGGAAGTTGATAGGACCAAGGAAACCATTAACTTTGACCTGATTTATCACGTTTTCTGGGACAGATATCAAAAAATAGTAAACTGATAAAATGTTACTGATAATATGATAAATATTTTGTCAGTTGACTATTTTTTTTTAATATCTCTTACAGGAAACGAGCTAAATTTGGTTTAAGTTGGTTGCCGCTAATAGAAGGATATATCAACTTTAAACCCATTTATCTCATTTACTGTGACAGATATCAAAAAATAGTCAACTGATAAAATGTTACTGATATTATGATAAACATTTTGTTAGTTGACTATTTTTTGATAGCTGTCATAGGAGTCGAGATAAATTTGGTTGAAGTTGGCCGTAGATAGTGACATCTAATAGGGATATATCAACTTTAAGCCATTTTTCTCGTTTCCTATAACAGTTATCAAAAAGTACCTAATTAATAAAAATGTATCATGTTATCAGTTACATTTTATCAATTGAACATTTTTTGATATCTGTAGAATGAATCGAGATATATGGGCTCAAAGTTGATGGGGCGTTTCACAAAATTAATGCTTACGCCACCGTATCAGTTCTAGATAAGATTGATGGACTTCATGAAATTTCAGAATCCTCAGAACCTCAGTATTGAATTCCTAACCTCTTTTTCTTTTTCAGTTGCCGACAGCGATGAGGGATCCGACGCCGGAGGAGCCGCCGCCGCCAGCTCTGCTCCAGTCGCTCGTGGACGCGGACGCCCACCAAAGGGAGGAGACAAGAAGACTGCGATCCCGAAGGTCGGAGGAACCGGAAAGCGTGGACGTCCAGCCAAGGGAACGACTGCCGCGAAGCCAAAGGAGCCAAAGGTTGCTCGTGAGCCGGAGCGCAAGAGCGAGCGTGCTCGCAAGACGACCCACTACAACGACTCGGACGATTCGGGAGACGAGGCACCAGTGAAGGCCAAGAAGTCGTCAGCCGCCAAGAGCACCGCTTCGGATGGAGCCAAGAAGCGTGGACGTCCAAAGAAGAACGTCGACTAGGCGACCAGATAAGCCGTAATAGGCCCCGCCCTTCTCTATAAATGACATTCCTTTCGATATGTCCCCTCCACCACCACACTGCGTTTTCTTTTCTCATTATTATGATACTCTTTTTCATCTCCGTTTCTTTTTCCCCATCCCCCCTTAACAAATCTTGTTGTAAAACCTGACAAAAAAGTCCCCCCATACGTTGTGACCTAAATTTATTTTATTTTATGTTTAGATGTTGTGACTGTGTACTTTTCTTGAGTAAATATTTTTTGGAGTGAAAATCCATTTCTTAGAGAATCTGTGAATCATTCCAGATAGAGGAAATGCTATCCTTCTGGTGTCGAAAATCAAAAATAACTTTAAAATGAAATAGTAAAAAATCTGAAAACTTGAAACCATTTCGGAAACTGAAAACTAAAATAGCTAAAAGATCGATAGCTTTTGAAAAGCTGAAAAACGCCTATTTTCAATCTTGAATCTAATTATCCCGGCTCTCAATTAAGATATACAAATATGATCAATTAGAAAATGTGTGAAATAATTTGCTAAAGATTTTGATAATTAGTTATACTCTGATAACTCTGCTGATAAGTGAGATAAGGGTGATAAACGTGATCGCAAGTTTGTACAGTTTGGGGTTAAGCTTCCAAACTTTGAGATCAATTATCTCGGTTCCCAATAAAAATACTGAAAAGTGGTAAACGAATGACTTGTGTGAAATGATATGGTAAACATTTAATTAGTCTGTTGTGTTTTGATATCTCTACTGATAACTGAGATAAAAATGATGAAAGGGATCGCAATTTTTGTGTGGGTCAATATAATTTTGCTTCCAAACTCTCAGACCAACTATATCGCTTCTCAATTAAGAAATGTAGTTAATTGAAAAGATGTGTAAAATTTTATGACAAAAATTTTGGTATTAAGTTTCATTTCAATATTTTTTCTACTGTCTGAGATAAGACTGATAAAAGTGATCACCTTGGTGTGTAGTTTCTGAACTTTTAGACCAATTATCTGGATTCCCAATTAAGATACACAAATGTTGTTAACTAATGAAATGTGTAAAATAATGTGATGAACAGTTTATGAGTTAATTGTATTTTGATATCTTTTTTGCCAACTAAGATAGAGGTTATAAAAGTGACCTGACTTGTTACAGCCTAGTGTTAAACTTCAAAACTTGAGACCAATTATCGCGATGCCCAATTAAGATACCCAAAAGTGGTTCACTAACGAAATGTGTAAAATAATGTGATGAACAGTTTATTAGTTGATTGGTTTTTGATATCTCTGCTGGTAACTGAGATATGGGTGATAAGAGTTACTACTCGATTTTTCTATAGATTGGAGTGAAGCTTCAGAACTTTGAGACCAATTATCTCGACTCCCAATAAGATGCACAAATTTAGTTAACTATTGAAATGTGTAGCATTTCATGATTAACATTTTATCAGTTGATTGCATTTTGATTTCTTTTTCATCAGCTGTGATAAGGGTGATAAATAAAAAAATATGTTTACAGTTTGGTGTTAAGCTTCAAAACTTGACTAATTATCTCGGCTCCTCATTAAGATACCTGAGTGTAATCAACTAACAAAATGTGTAAAATTTTATGATCAACATTTTATCAGTTGATTGCATTTTGATATCTTTTCTGGCAACAGAGATAATTAGAGTTAAAGAATCTAAAATTCAAAAATACAAAACCATTTATTATTAAAATTATTATCACAAAAACCAAACAAAAAGTTCAACTTTTTTCACAAACAAAACCCAAGTGTTAAATTGTTACATGTCTATTTAATTACACAGATTATTATGCTAATTAGCCAATTAGAAATGTTCGAATAAAAAATCAAAAGTTTTGATTTTTCTCATTTCGACAAAATCAAAAATACGTCGCCCAATAATATTGGCCATGGATAATCGGATGGAAGTTTGATAGATGGTTCCAGATGGTGAATTTCAAAATTTCTTGGCTTCCAAATTTTCAAATCTTGAAATGGATCGTAGCATTTTGGAGTTTGGAGCGTAGTCTGCAATTTTAAACATTTTAAGTGAAACTCTAATTTTTTCTAGGTCGTGACCCAATTTTTTCTAGGTCACGACCCAATTCTTTCTAGGACATTACATAATTTTTTGTAGGTCATGACCCAATTTTTTCTAGATCTAGTTTTTCATGACCTAATTTTTCTAGGTCATGCCCCAATTTTTTCTAGGTCACGACCTAATTGTTTCTAGGTCATGACCCAATTTTTCTAGGTCATGACCCAATTTTTCTAGGTCATGACCCAATTTTTCTAGGTCATGACCCAATTTTTTCAGGTCATGACCCAATTGTTTCTAGGTCACGACCTAATTGTTTCTAGGTCATGACCTAATTTTTATAGGTCATGACCTAATTTTTCTAGGTCATGATCCAATTGTTTCTAGGTCACGACCTAATTTTTCTAGGTCATGACCCAATTTTTCTAGGTCATGACCCAATTTTTCTAGGTCATGACCCAATTTTTCTAGGTCTTGACCCAATTTTTCTAGGTCATGACCCAATTTTTCTAGGTCATGACCCAATTTTTCTAGGTCATGACCCAATTGTTTCTAGGTCACGACCCAATTGTTTCTAGGTCACGACCTAATTGTTTCTAGGTCACGACCTAATTGTTTCTAGGTCATGACCCAATTGTTTCTAGGTCATGACCCAATTTTCCTAGGTCATGACCCAATTTTTTCTAGGTCATGACCCAATTTTTTCTAGGTCATGACCCAATTTTTCTAGGTCATGACCCAATTTTTCTAGGTCATGACCCAATTTTTCTAGGTCATGACCCAATTGTTTCTAGATCACGACCTAATTGTTTCTAGGTCATGACCCAATTTTTCTAGGTCATGACCCAATTTTCCTAGGTCATGACCCAATTTTTTCTAGGTCATGACCCAATTTTTTCTAGGTCATGACCCAATTTTTCTAGGTCATGACCCAATTTTTCTAGGTCATGACCCAATTTTTCTAGGTCATGACCCAATTTTTCTAGGTCACGACCTAATTGTTTCTAGGTCATGACCTAATTTTTCTAGGTCATGACCCAATTTTTCTAGGTCATGACCCAATTTTTCTAGGTCATGACCCAATTTTTCTAGGTCATGACCCAATTTTTCTAGGTCATGACCCAATTTTTCTAGGTCATGACCCAATTTTTTTTTCGCACATTTTAGAACTGGTCAGTTCTAAAACGTCAGGGTGCGAAATGTCCCTAACGTACCTGATTTGGATGACTGCTTAATGCAGATGCTGATGACGATGTTGGCGTGGAGTTTTCTCGGAAATTATTGGCATTTTTCGGAAACAATGCCGATCTGGATTTGGATGGAATCGCGTCCGGGTATTCCTGAAAATGAGAAAACTTTGATTTTTTGAATTTTAAACTATTTGAAAAAATTCGGAATTCCTAAAAATGGGAATTTCTGAATTTTCGAAATTCAAAAACTTCTGAAAACCTCTAAAAATCCCCCTCACCTTCATATAAATTTGCAACAATCTCTTCGCTTCAGTTCGATACGGTTTCCGTTGCTCATCGTTCAACCGCATCCACATTTCTCTCATTCGTTGCTCATATTTCAATTTTTCCTCTTTTTTGTACACATTTTTCGGTCCCTGCTCCATTATGAATATTTGAATCGCGTTTGACGGAGGAGGTGGACGATATTGAGAAGTTGGTGATGGTGGCCGGCGACATGGCGATTCAGAATCCGATGAGTCCGATGGTAGAAGATTCTGGAAGAGATGAAAATTTGAGATTCTGAAATTCCGAGATTCTGAGATTCTGGAATTCTGAGATTCTGAGAATCTAAGATTCCGATTCTTTTCTAAGATTCTCAGATTCTAAGATTCTAAGATTTTAAGATTATAAGATTCTGAGATTCTGAGATTATGAGATTCTGAGATTCTGAGATTTTGAGATTTTGAGATTTCGAGATTTTGAAATTTTGAGGTTCAGCGATTCAGAGATTCTGAGATTTTGAGATTCGGAGATTCTGAGAATCTAAGATTCTGAGATTCTGAGATTCTGAGATTCTGAGATTCGGAGATTCGGAGATTCGGAGATTCTGAGATTCTGAGATTCTGAGATTCTGAGATTCTCGGATCCTGAGATTCTGAAATTCTGAGATTCTCGGATCCTGAGACTTTGTGCTTTGGAGATTCTTAGGATTCTCGAAATCCTAATAATTCCCGGATTCTGAATCTCTGGATTTCAAATCTTCTGATCCTCCAAACTAACCGATCCTTCAACCAAATTCGGTAACGTTGTCGGTCCTTTTCTCCCTGATGAACTTGCCACGTAACTCTGAAAATTATTTTCACTTTCAGAAAAATGGGCGGAGCTTAAAAACCTGTGGAATCATATTCTCCGTTCCTTCCGGTCTCCGCCGTTGCTTTCGTTCTATTATTGATTCAGGAGATTGTTCTTGGAGTGGCAGTTGGGGCTGAAATGATATTATGAAAATACGAAATTTTCAGAAAATTAAATTTTCAAAAAATTTAAAAAATTGCTCACCCTGTCATTCTGAATATTCCGAAACGCTCCATTCAACCTCTGTCGTGCCTGGTCCAAAATCGATGAATTTGCCATAAAAGTGGGCGGAGTCAAAACCGAACCATTATCGAATAACGAAATCTCATTTGGATTCCAAAATTGTTGAGGGGGCGGAGTCTTGGGAACGGGCAGAATTTTGACTTTTCGAACTTTTTTGGAAATTGGCGAAGGTTCTTCTGAATCATCGAATAATGAAATTTGACTGGGATCCAGCATTTTTGGGCGCGAACTTTCTTTTTTCAAATTTCGTGATTTTCGTGGTTTTGAACTTTTCGAAGGTTCTGGAATCGAATCAGGCTCCAAATCATAAATCCCATCGTTGAGATCTAGAAAGTTGGAAAAATCCAAATTCCGGTTTTCCACAAATTCTTCAAAATCCAAAAAATCCGATTCCGATGTCATCGAATTGTTAGAAATCTGAGGACTTGGTACTAACGGTCCCTGCCTATCCGCATTCCACTCCTCCCATTGCTCATCGTTCCAGTTAGGCTCCGCCCCTTTTTGCTCCAAATACATCCGCTCAAAAAAGGTTTTGTCTCGTTTCGAAACGCCCTCCCAAATGCCTTCCATCAAGTCCAGAAGACTTTTTTGATCGGCATCCGGATATTTTTGCTCATAAAATGCCAATTGGTTTTGCACCCAAAATTTGTAGACTTCCTTGTTGAATTCGGACATTTTTCGGAGGGGGTGGGGGCGAGAATCTGAAATGAAAAGTGGAAAATGTTGCGTAAAAATGAGCCCAAAATCATCAAAATCGGTTGGAAATTCAAATTTTTGAATTAAGAAAAAAAGAAACACCTAAAATGGGGCAAAAAAACAACCGAAAATCAAAATTTAACTGAAAAAAAATTGTCAGAAAAATCGAGAAAAATCAGCGAAATAAATCGATTTTGCGACACGGTTCTTCTCAATTTATTGGCCGCCATTTTTGGATTTTTTTTTGGTAGATCAATTTTTTTTGATCTACTAAGTTTTAGATTTTTAGAAATTTAGAAATTTAGAGATTTTTTGATTTTCTTAATTTTCTAGAATTTTTGAAAATTAAGTTTTCTGGAATTCTTGAAAATCTTAATTACCGGAAGTTTTTTTTTTTCAAATTTAGGAATTTTTGAAGTTGTTGGAATCACTGATTTTCAAAATTTCCGAATTTCTAAATTTTCAAAAATATTTGAATTTTCTGAATTTTTTTTCGAAACTTTGGAAAATCAGAATTTCCCAAATTTCAGATTTTTTGAAAACTTCCAGAACCTCCGAATCTACACATCCTGAAAAATCCAAAACAATATTCTACAAATAAAAATATCTTTATTCCAAAAACTGAATTCCAAATTCCCATCAAAACGATAAAAACTTCGCTGCCCAACCACGATAGCCTTGATTAGTGGTGGATACGGAAATAACAGTCAAAATATTCGAGCTACTGTAGTAGTACGGAAAAGGGCTTACAGCTTGTCTGAATGTTCCCAAAACTTTTCCATCTGAATCCAAAACCTGAACACTTGTATAAGAATCATAAGTGTAGATGTCAGAGAAATACAATCCGATTCTATACGGACCTAACGTGGAGATCTTATAAACACAATATGAATATACAAAACTGGTTGGGTAGTTAGGAGACGTGATATATCCAGAATCAAAGAGAGTTGTGGAATTACAGCCAGATGGATTTGTAGGAGCAGGAGTGACAATTACTGGGGGTGCTGGTGTATTATTACAGGTGATTCCATTTGGACGTTTACATACAAAGTACTGACTGGTTTTGCAATCCACTTGATACCAGGTACCATCTGTAGACACCGCCATTTGGAAGCAGCTGCCAGATGAGCCAGATCTCGGACTAACATGGTTATAATCCCATCTAGACTGGTCAATCCAATATGGAGTCAACGGAGATGTAGTCAGTGCTCCGATCATGGTTGTGGAGATGTTAGATCCAGTGTAAAGGGATTGAATGTAAGAGATTTCTCTCTTTGAGTGAATTGAGACTAGATCGGCGCAATTCTGATGGCAAGAATCCAATGCAGCCGAGAATGGAAGAGTTGGAGATGTAGCGTTTTCATGGGAGAGAAGGTAGCAGTAACCGTTGAAGTTGTGGGCGCAGGTGTCTGGAAATGTTATGGTTTAATGCAAGAGAGACGCAGACATTTAGAGTGTATCGTTGTCTGCGTCTCTAGCTTTCTAAACTTCAAACGACTGTATCTCGACTCTTACATTAGCTAGAAAACGGAAAATTAGATAGAAAAAATTGGATATTGTCGAATTAAAAAAAGTGGGACCTGAAAATTTGAAAGGCGTAGCTTTTTTTGATCTACGAAAAGTGCGTCAAAAAAGTAATATTTCTGATGTTCGCCTTCTGATGAGGCCTCGTTCAAGCTACTTTCGCTAAGTTCGGTTTTCGATTAAAAACAGATTCTAAAGATGCTAGCGATCATTTTCCTACCAAGAAATCTAAGTTTTGTTCAGAAAATCCCACTAAATTCCCAGAAATAAGTTTCGTTCACTACCGTAGTGTTTCTGGGGCAAGGCCTCGAAAATTGTTCTTGAAGCCGCCCGCGAAATTTTCCAGGTCCCACTTTTTTTAATTCGACAATAATCTCTCTCATATCCTAAGCTTCTAATGGTTGCGTGAGAGACGCAGGCAGTTAGAGCGTCTTGCTATCTGCGTCTCTAACCTTTAAATACCCATATCTTGGCTTCTAGTTAGGCTAGGAAAGTGATTTTTGTTGGAACATATTTCAAATATTCTAGGTTTTTATTTACTGGCATGATCTGTAATAAGATTTAAAAAAGTTCTATAGATGGTACGCCACTTTCCTCATTGCGTGCAAAATTTCAATGCCATTTTGTTTACAGTTTTTCTCCTATTTGCCAATAGCTTATCAGATTCCCAATCTTAGTGATAAGAAGAACATGCCCTTAGTACACAAGTCGTCAACTACGAAAACTAATTTTTTTTCTCTCTGAAAGGCACTCTTGGGTTTAAAGTTTACCTGATCTAGTAGTCGGAATCTCACAGACATATGCCATTTCAACATTCTCACATTCGGAACTGATCCATTGCCCAGCTAGGGATCCAGTCGCCGCCGAGTACACACATCCACCCAAATCCACATTCGGAAAGCCTCTGGCGAAATTGTTATAGGCACTCGCAGAGCCTGTATCATCATCGAAATAACAGGTGGATGGATCATTGCTCACACAGAAGACACCAATCCAGAAACTGAATCCTGAATTGCCGACGAAGGTGCTTACGGCGCGATTATCCTGGAATAATTCACGCTATCGATTTTGAGCTAATTTATCTCGTTTCCTGTGAAAGATATGAATAAGTGGTCAACTGATAAAATGTTTGGGATGTTATGATAAACAATTTTTTAGTTGACAACTTTTTGATATCTTTGACAGGAGCCGAGATAAATTGGCTCGAAATTAACAGTAAAGGTTGATGCAACTATTAGAAGGGTATATTAACTTTGAGCCATTTTATCTTGTTTTCTATAAGAGATATCAAAAAGTTGTCAACTGATAAAATGCTTGTAATTCTATGAGGAGCATCTGTTACTTGACCCTTTTTTGATATCTTTCACAGGAAACGAGATATATGGGCTCGAAGTTGACAGTTCGGGAAGCATTCTATAAGAGTGATTACGGTATCTTGGCTACTAATTAAAAACTCACAATTGCATTCCTAATCGTCACCAATGCTCCTCCATACGATGCACAACTCGTTTCAGCTACGCGGTGCTTAACAGGTGTAGCAAAAAACTTCAAACATTTTGCACTATTCACTAGTGTAAATCCATTGGTACAAATTGGGTCAGCAACACAGAAGGAGACAAAAAATGAGGCAAAAATCAGCAAGAGTTTCATTTTGAAATGAGTGAAACTATCGGTGTTATCAGTTGGTTTTTATGCTCATCTTTTGTGACCGGAAGATTTTTTTTGTGATAAGAACTTTCTGATAAACATGAGTTTATTGAGCTGTTGAAATTCGATTGGCACACCCTCAAGAATTAGAGTTTTCGGAATTTCAAACTGTTTATCGACCGCGTAACTCTGATTATACTCCTATCCTTCCCATTACGATACTGGTCAAGAAGAAACGCCTAAATGATCCATTTTATAATAAGTACTTTGTACTTGTCCGTTTGAATTTCAGATGTTATAAGTGAAATATAACACTCTTCTAGGTCGAAATGTTGGGTAGAATCCAAATAGATAATGTCTAAAACATTTGAAACCTTTTCCAACAAAAATTACTATCCTAGCCCTACTAGGAGCCAAGATATGGGTATTTGAAGGTCAGAGACGCATACGGCAATACACACTAACTGTCTGCGTCTCTCTCATATTGTAATCTTCTATTGGTTGGGTGAGAGACGCAGACAGTTAGATTGTCTCGTTGTCTGTCTCTAACCTGCAAATAGCCATATCGTGGCTCCTAGTAAGGCTTGGAAATCGATTTTTGTTGGAAAATGATTCAAAATTTCTAGAATTCATTTTACTAGAATAAGCTGAGAATTTAAATTAGAAAAATGGAGTAGTATACTTGGCTCATAATATCTGAAACTTTCAGATGGAACTTGCAAGTGCTAAGAACGTCGCCTAAACTTGATAATTTTCCTTTTACCCAGTACTGTATAAAACGGAAATCCTCCTGATCAGTTACTGTAACTGACGTCACATCATTGACATCCCTCTTCACCTATCAGCCGTCATAGCCGATATTTTCCCATCCTTTTCCCATCCATTCCCATCCTTCCCAGTGTCCCAACTTTGCTCTTGGGAAAGAGTCCCAAAAGAGTCATAAAACCCCTCATTCATTAATTATTATACTCTCTTAGACGCTCTGTCTATCTATAATTTTATCGATCTTTTTTTGGCCCTAAAATCTCTATATTCTCCTAAAAATGCTACTCCGATCAGTCGACGAATCTCAAATCCACCTAATGGATTTGCTAACACTGGCTCGTGAGAAACATCGAGATCTGTACTCGGAAAACGACATCAATCTTCGTCAAGAGGTTCTTCACGCGGAGTTAATCAAAAGTGTTCGCCGAAACTGTCGAACAGCACCACGACGACTTCAGAAGCGACGAGCCGAGGATTCTGGAGATTTGAGGTGCGAAAATTCGGAAATTCGAAGAAAAATTCCTGAGGAGCCAATCGAAAAGAAGCGGAAGGATAACTTGATTGGACCGTTTTCCGCGGAAGATTTTTTTAGTCAAAGCTGTTCGGATAGAATGATCGGTAAGATTTTAAATTTCTTTTTTCATTTTTTCTTCTAAAATTCACAATTTTTTTCAGATTTCTCAGCGCTCCGACCTCCAAATCCATCCTTCGAAACCCAGCGAAAAACCAAAATCGGCACCCGAACGCTCAACTCAAATCCAGATGTCTTTCAACGACTGTCGGCTGTGAAAAAATCGAAAAAATAAATTTATTTAATGTTTTTATGTGCATTTTCTTGCTTTTTTCGTGAAATTTCGGTTTAAAATTCAATAAAATTGGTGAACATTTCTCGCTGTATCTTTTTAAAGGCGCATGCTTATTAAAGATAATTTCGTTCCTTCCACGAAAACGAAACATGTTATTTTTCATTTTTTGAGCGAATGGAAGCTCAAAATTGGTCTGAAAAAGATAAAAGCACTGTAAAATCAAAATTTTTGGAAAAAAATCGACAAGAAACTTTTTAAAATTCAGTTTTCCTCAGATTTTTTTTCAGCAAAAAACGGTTATTGTCTATTCAAAATAATCGCGGGCGAAAAAAGGAGAATTTCAGACTTTTCAATAGTAGAATATTCAGAAAAATTGAGCGGGAAATTTGAGTTTCTAGTGAGCAGAAATGGAAAATGGAAGATTTTTGAAGGAGAAATAATGGAAAATCTGAGAAAATGGCAGCGAAAATAAGGGAGGAAAACGGTCATAAAATCTGAAAAATGGGCTATAAGAAGGTGATAAGAATTGGGTGAAAAAATAGGGAATTTTCCGATTTTTGGGGATAAAAATTGCGAAAATTGATTTTTTAAAAGGAAAACTGTGGGGAAAAAAATGAAGATATTCCAAAAAAAAAGACTATCGAAAACTTCAAAAAATTTCAATTTTTTTATCTGACATTTTTTTAAATTTCGATTT